CCCCCCTGAACCTAATCCTAACTTTTCTTCTCCTATAGCGGACAACACCCTTCATGTTACAAAGTTGACTCCCCTTGGCCCAAGGATGCTCCAGACCATGTCAGGATAATATTCCTTTACAGTACTTATGGAGTAGGATTTTAAAGATTGTCATATACATAAGAATGTACATGTAACAGGAAAGAGAATAGTGTGCTTCTGACGGGGATCGAACCCTCGATCTCCTGGTTCCTAGTCGGACACTCTACCACTGAGCTAAAGGGAAATTCTACCACTGAGCTAAAGGGAAATTCTACAACTGAGCTGAAGGGAAATTCCCTCTAGCTCTAAGCTAGAAGGTGACCTTAATCCTATGTACAATTGAACCCTGCCACATACATAACTCCCCTATTTGACCCTACACCCCTCTGCCCCAAAGAAGGATTATACAACCTCCATGTATACACTGACGTGTCTCCTTGGCACTATTAAAGATGTTCAAGACCAAAAGAAGTCTAAATCCACTGAGCTGTGCTGGACTAGTAGTGTATAAAGGGAAAGTTACAACAGATTAACTGATGACAGACGCTGCACCATGGTGTAAGCTAACTTGGCCCTTTTGGGGCGAGCTTGGCCCTTTTGAGGCAAGTTAAAACAGATTTCATATTGTTAGCACCATTCCATTAATATTTTGATTTATCACCAAATAATTAGTGTTCAAAATTAATATAAAATTTATAATTTTAACAATATTTGTTCTATTCTACGGTTATAGTAATATATATTAATTTTGCATATTTAAATAATTTTATGTTGTGATACATCCTGGCAAAGGGGGCATTTATAATATCACAATAATCATCAGCAATCTTATCCACTAATAAATCATTGAGTATAGCAATTGTTAACTTACTATTAACCTCAGTGAAAATATTTCAAATACATGATTATCCTATATGTAAAGTATATAAAATTAACAAACAATTTAATTGACATTAGAGGTTACTAATTCAGGATACCAATCCACTACACCAGACTAACCGACAGATATATAATATAACTACATGTGTATCTAATTGTATAATACTATTTTGAACATCTAAGGCAAATGTGTACTGCAATGTACATACTTTGTAAGAGGTCGTCGCACCTCAAAGCCGCATGTCCGTGAAAACAAATCAAACAAAAACCAAACATTTACTGAAAACAACAACAACGGGACTAGATTTAAGCTATCTGCATCCATAGAGCTACAACAATCACAATTTGTAGAACATGACTGATCTTAACAATCACAGCACCTCACTATACATCTGTACCAGGATACTATCACAAGTATTCAAAGTTCATATTAATATACTACATATTGTATTATTTAAACTGTCACTTTCATATTGTTATATCATTTTAAGCAGACTAGATGTACATATGTATGTAATAAAATTAAACATCAATATATCTAATGTTTTACAACCTATTGCACTTTACAAAATACTTTTATCTTTTTCAATGAATTTTTTTTATGATTGGAGAAATTATATATTCACTTATCTTTTTAATAATACTTCTTTTTATGATTATTTTTCAAACTTTGTTGAAATTTGTGGGAATTTCAGTTCATGAAAGAGTGACAGAACTGTTCTGATTCTTTGTATCAGGAAGGCACTCGTAATATCCTTGAGTCCTTGAATTTCAGCAGGAATTAAAAACATGAAATAAATATATTTCAAAACAAATGTGATTTACAGACATACCTGGTTGGTACTTAAGCAAAAACATCATTTAATATAAAGTACACATTTATATGGCACAAATATATACAGCATGATTTACATGTAACCAATGTGTTAAAAAGTAAAAAGACCAAAATATTATCTGATTTTCTTTCTGCCCTTTTTATCATTGCATGAGGGCACATTCACGCTCCTCTTTTCATCTGCCTCCTCACTTACTGACAATATCTGTCAAAGTTCCATATTTCTTTTTTCTTAAGTACTTTATGTATCTCCCTCAATAAACTGGCCTCACCTTTACAAATTCTTATCAACTGGTGGAAATAGATTTGTACCGTTCATGGTATGTGATAGTAGTGCCAGTGAGAAGTTTGCAGGGATTAGTTTTTTTGTTTGTTTTGTGTTTTACGTACGTCCTAGTAACGGTTGTGGTTATTTAAGGACATGCAAAGTTCTGATGTTGGAAGAAAACCAAAAGGCCTGGAGAATAACCACTGACCTGTGGCCAGTACCTGGTGACTGCCCCCAATGTAGGCCTCAAACACATGACCCAGTGGTTGAGGGCTGGTGGTCATAGATAGTCAGATGCCTTGACCACTTGGCCACCGTGCAGCCCCTATAAAATATTTCTGTTACCAGAAATCAGATTTCTAAAATCATCCTTTAGTAAACTATACAAGAAGTATATATAAAAAAAATCGAAGGCAATTGTCAAAAGGATTTAAGGGTACCAGGTAAACAAAATCTTTGAATACTGATCTCAATATTCAACCTATAGCAATTAGAACTTCAATGGTGTATTAAATGAGAGAAAAATCAACATTTTGGAACATTGCAAAAAGTCAATAACAGGTTTTGTATTGTATAAAAACAGTATGTTAACATTGTCCATTGTCCATTGTCAATGTAATCTATATAGGACAATTCCAATTTCAGAGAATATATATCTTCTAATTTACATATTGACTCAAATACAAGTTGAAACATTGTCTTTAAAGAACCCAACCCAGGTTTCCTTTTGAAATGTATCTGGTGATTTTAGAATGATGATGTTCCTACATTTAACGATTTTACATAATCACTAGCTGTGCTGGTTTCTTAGGGGGATAGAGTATAACAACAAAAGTACACATAACCACATAATACTCTCAAATTATGACTGGTGTGGCACTCCTAGTGACTAGAAAGTGTTTCATTCTGATAGCACATGACTTGTAAAACATCACGGACAAACATCACGTACACAAGTTACAGCTTAACTTAATTACATGTAAACTATAACCTTCACTTCCACCGCTTCATGATAAAGTATGATGATTAAAAGCACATGAGAGTATGCTCTGGTTAAAGTACATGTATACTAATTTACAACCTAGCCTCAAACAATGGAATGTATCATAATAAAATCCAGAATCACAAAACTGTCTGATGTATAAAAATAAACATTAAATTATTCAATACAAAAGTAAGTAGATAATGTTATTACAATAACAGGAATGTCTCCCTCTACCTGTTTTATATTAGGAATGTCTCCCCCCATCTTGTTACATAACATGAATGCCTCCCTCTACCTGTTTTATATTAGGAATGTCTCCCCCCATCTTGATACATAACACAAATGTCTCCCTCTACCTGTTCTATATTAGGAATGTCTCCCCCATCTTGTTACATAACAGGAATGTCTCCCTCTACCTGTTTTATATTAGGAATGTCTCCCCCCCTCTTGTTACATAACAGGAATGTCTCCCTCTACCTGGTTTATATTAGGAATGTCTCCCCCCATCATGTGACATAACAGGAATGTCTCCCTCTACCTGTTTTATAATAGGAATGTCTCCCCCCATCTTGTTACATAACATGCATGCCTCCCTCTACCTGTTTTATATTAGGAATGTCTCCCCCCTCTTGTTACATAACAGGAATGTCTCCCTCTACCTGTTTTATATTAGGAATGTCTCCCCCCATCATGTGACATAACAGGAATGTCTCCCTCTACCTGTTTTATATTAGGAATGTCTCTCCCCCCATCTTGTTACATAACAGGAATGTCTCCCTCTACCTGTTTTGTATTAGGAATGTCTCCCTGACTTTTCACACAACGGAATGTTTCCTCTGACTCCTTATATTATAAAAGCAGAATGTCTCCCCCAACCTCATTACAAAGTATTTACCAGGAATGTTTCCCCCAACAAAAAGTCCTAAGCACAGCCTCCCAGGCTAATAAGCCACCTGTGTACTAAATATAGGCATGTTGACTTCAAAGCCTCAAAGGAAATCCCAAGAATCTCTTCCTCATAAGCAACTTCTGATACTGTACCTCACTCAGTTATATACCTCACTCTGAAACTTTTCCTCACAAAGATACCTCACTCAGTCAGATACCCCCTCTCAGTTAGATACCTCACTCTGAAACCCTCCCTCACATAGATAACTCACTCAGTCAGATACCCCCTCTCAGTTAGATACCTCACTCTGAAACCCTCCCTCACAAAGATACTTCACTCAGTAAGAAGTCTTCATCACTAAACAAATCTCAATCTCTTAAGTAAAAAAAGCCTCCCGTAGCCATCCTCTCCTCTCCCCTCCCCACCCCCCAGTCTGAAACCTTCCTTTGGCTGGGCAGAAATCCTCCCTTGGTCAGCAACCCTCCTCAGTCCTCATCAGCATCTTCAAAGTTGAGTTCCACTGCAAAATGGTCTCTGTAAACCTCCTTGGCTTTCTTCTTATGGGGATTGTCGAGTTCATCTCTTGTTAAGCGCAGCCTAGAGAAAAAAATATCATAATTACACTAGATAAACAATTACTAAGAGTTCACTACAGAAATAATTATTATGAGTACACTAAAGAAACACTTATTACGAGTACTGTCTAGAGAAACAATTATTACGAGTACACTAAAGGAAAAATTATTACGAGTACTGACTATTACGAGTACATAAAAGGAACAATTATTATAAGTACTGACCAGAGAATATTGATACAATGAACTGTAATGTATCGATCATTGCCAGCTTACCAAAGACTAATTAACCAGTCAATGTTACAACGTAGTTTAACTGATAAATTCAGTAACTTTGATTATTTCTTATATTTCTGTGCTTTGAGAAATATTTTAAGACTCTTTCATGCACAGGGGTGTAGGAGATAGAAATTCCACCCAAGGAGCTTTCAAATTTGGTAAAACCTGAGGCTTTGCCGAGGGTTTTGCTAAATTCGAAAATCCTGAGGGTGGAATTTCCCTTTCCTACACCCTTGGGCAAGAAAGAGTATTTTTCTCTCATTCCATCCACCAGAATAAGCTCAGAAACCATGAAAATTCGTTTGGACTGGCCTACATTTTGAAAATATCAAGTTTTCCCCCCCAAGCTTTTCAGACGAAAACGAATTAGCCAGCCAGATTAAGCCTATCCCATATTTTCAAACAGTGATTACGCAAAAAAATGAATCCCATCTTTCTAACGTGTACGGTAAATATATTGTAAAAGGTTTTAATTTCATCACGTCGCCTTTTCCGCATTGTGCATCGTAGAGTTTCAAATTTGTGACGTCACGTCATTGTTGAGCCATTGTGACGTCACGTCAAGTGAAATGGGGTGTAAGATAGAAATTTCCTACACCCCTTTCTTACCCTGGACAGCTCTGTCTTACACACAGAGATATGAGAGAAAACGGTTTATCACATAAGGTACTATGTTATCCCGTGAATATACTCATGTCATATTTTTTTGGCTTATTAACCAATGTAATATGACCTATCAGCCCTGTGATTGGTTGTAAGTTTCAGTTGTGTCAATTGCGACATCACGCCTAGGACAAGTACATGACGTCATAGACTTAAGCACTGGAGTAAAAATGACGGTTTTACATTTCAAGGGTGCATGAAAATTGTCGTCTTACACGAATAAATGCCACAAATCTTGATTATGTGATAAAAAGGATCTTGCACTCGTTATCATTTCAAAACTCAGCACAAATTTTTCATTTCAGCTTGCCAGAGGCTTGCTTAAAAGAAAAATTCTTAAGAATCGTTTCACAAATGTCACATGAAATGGAAACTCATCTAAGATTTATTGATTGAGAAAAAAACTGCAAGAAGTTGATATATGTGTATCAACATTACAAAATCTTTAGGGAAGCTATGTATCTCTATACTTACTTATTATTTTCAATGAAGGAGGTATGAAACCACAGGAAAAAGGCACAATTGTCATAAATCTTAGGAATGTTTTTCTGCAATAGAACAATACATAATGTGATTACAACAAGTTTGCTGAGTGACCTGAAAGGCCCATTAACACAAGATTACATTAAACTGATATACAAACACAACAATTATAAGACAGGAATGAGTAGACACATGCATAATAGATTCTTAACATGAGAATGTTTAGGGCGGTGTTCTATTGTTTAATAATATGATATACATATTGTGTAGAAATATGTTCTCATGTGAAGAAATATATTCTATTGTGTCAGGATATATTCTATTGTGTCGGGATATGTTCTATTGTGTCAGGATATGTTCTACTGTGTCTGGATATATTCTATTGTGTCAGGATATGTTCTATTGTGTCGGGATATGTTCTATTGTGTCGGGATATGTTCTATTGTGTCGGGATATGTTCTATTGTGTCGGGATATATTCTGTTGTGTCAGGATATATTCTATTGTGTCGGGATATATTCTATTGTGTCAGGATATGTTCTATTGTGTCTGGATATGTTCTATTGTGTCGGGATATGTTCTACTGTGTCGGGATATGTTCTATTGTGTCGGGATATGTTCTATTGTGTAGATATATGTTCTATTGTGGCGGGATATGTTCTGTTATGTCGGGATATGTTCTATTGTGTCGGGATATATTCTATTGTGTCTGGATATATTCTATTGTGTCAGGATATATTCTATTGTGTCGTGATATATTCTATTGTGTCGGGATATGTTCTATTTTGTAGGGATATGTTCTATTGTGTAGGGATATGTTCTCCTGTGTCGGGATATGTTCTACTGTGTCGGGATATATTCTATTGTGTCAGGATATGTTCTATTGTGTCTGGATATGGTCTATTGTGTCGGGATATGTTCTACTGTGTCGGGATATATTCTACTGTGTCTGGATATGTTCTGGTGCATCGGGATATGTTCTACTGTGTCGGGATATGTTCTGTTGTGTCGGGATATGTTCTATTGTGTCTGAATATGTTCTACTGTTTAGAAATATGTTCTATTGTGTCGGGATATGTTCTATTGTGTGTGTCAGGATATATTCTATTGTGTCGGGATATATTCTGTTGTGTCAGGATATATTCTATTGTGTCGGGATATGTTCTATTTTGTAGGGATATGTTCTATTGTGTAGGGATATGTTCTACTGTGTCGGGATATGTTCTATTGTGTCGGGATATATTCTATTGTGTCGGGATATGTTCTATTGTGTCAGGATATGTTCTGTTGTGTCGGGATATGTTCTATTGTGTCTGGATATGTTCTACTGTGTCGGGATATGTTCTGCTGTGTCTGGATATGTTCTATTGTGTAGGGATATGTTCTACTGTGTCTGGATATGTTCTATTGTGTAGGGATATGTTCTACTGTGATATGTTCTATTGTGTCGGGATATGTTCTACTGTGTAGGGATATGTTCTACTGTGTCGGGATATGTACTACTGTGTCGGGATATGTTCTGTTGTGTCGGGATATGTTCTATTGTGTCTGGATATGTTCTACTGTGTCTGGATATGTTCTACTATGTCGGGATATGTTCTACTGTGTCTGGATATGTTCTACTGTGTCTGGATATGTTCTATTGTGGTGGGGTATGTTCTACTGTGTCGGGATATGTTCTATTGTGTCGGGATATATTCTATTGTGTCGGGATATATTCTATTGTGTCAGGATATATTCTATTGTGTCGGGATATGTTCTGTTGTGTCAGGATATGTTCTATTGTGTCGGGGTATGTTCTTTTGTGTAGGGCTATGTTCTATTGTGTAGGGATATGTTCTATTGTGTAGGTATATGTTCTATTGTGTCAGGATATATTCTATTGTGTCTGGATATGTTCTATTGTGTCGGGATATGTTCTACTGTGTAGGGATATGTTCTACTGTGTCGGGATATATTCTATTGTGTCAGGATATATTCTATTGTGTCGGGATATGTTCTGTTGTGTCAGGATATGTTCTATTGTGTCGGGATATGTTCTATTGTGTAGGGATATGTTCTATTGTGTAGGGATATGTTCTATTGTGTCAGGATATATTCTATTGTGTCGGGATATATTCTATTGTGTCGGGATATGTTCTATTGTGTAGATATATGTTCTATTGTGTCGGGATATGTTCTGTTATGTCGGGATATGTTCTATTGTGTCGGGATATATTCTATTGTGTCGGGATATGTTCTATTGTGTCAGGATATGTTCTGGTGTGTCGGGATATGTTCTATTGTGTCGGTATATGTTCTATTGTGTCGGGGTATGTTCTATTGTGTCGGGATATATTCTATTGTGTCGGGATATATTCTTTTGTGTCAGGATATATTCTATTGTGTCGGGATATGTTCTATTGTGTAGGGATATTTTCTACTGTGTCGGGATATGTTCTATTGTGTAGATATATGTTCTATTGTGTAGGGATATGTTCTATTGTGTCGGGATATATTCTATTGTGTCGGGGGATGTTCTATTGTGTAGGGATATGTTCTATTGTGTAGGGATATGTTGTATATCTTAATGTATCACTTACCTTTAGCATACATTATATATACCAGCAGAATATGTCATTAACATCAAGTTCAATAATATATAACGTAACATTACGAACAAAGGACAAATCATTCATCTCCGTTTGACAGTGTTGGTGACATATTGTGTATTTCACAGAGTAGTGGTAGCAAATTATCCAACTCTTTGATTAAGCCAAACTTTTTTTACCATATCTCATAAAAAAATGTTTAAACAAAGTACTTACTGCAGGTGAAAAGAAGCGTAGTTTGACGTCGGCGAACAAAGTTGGAGAATTCTGTAGGTTGACAACAATGCTGTCGCTGTCCGTGTACTTCATCATCTACAATAATAAGAGACGTCATTCAAGCTCAGTCTTGTTTTAGTTTAGAAGTGTCCTCGGTAGTAAGTCTACTTCTAATTGAATCTCTGTAGAGGTATGTATCTGTTACGTGTAGTTCAGGCGTGTCCTCCGAGGCCACCTTAGTAAGTCTACTTCTATTTCAATCTCTGTAGAGGTATGTATCTGTTACGTGTAGTGAGGGAACTATCTGGAGCTCCATTCCCATCTGAGGCAATTCTGGTAATAAGCCCCGAGGAGCTCCGATTCCAATCTGAGGGGCTCTTCTTGTACTAAGCCTTGTGGAATTCTGCTTATTTGTATTATTTAATGTTCATCCATAAACAATACTTATCTCTGTTTTTAATCACAGAAACAAATGAAGTCCCAAAGGATTTAAATTTATCAAAGCTTTGACCACTACAGTTCAACAGAAGGCTTCCAACTTGTTTAATGAGTTTGTTTTTAGTTCACTGGTTAACATAAGAACACCTTTGAACTCTCAGGAGTACGCTATGATAGTGGTTATGTCTGCTGTTAGATTGTTAAATTTGAGAACTGAGTTGCAGAGGTGCCATATCAAACATTTATCGGAAAGTTAGAGATATTTGAATATTATCAATACTTAAGGTTCTGCCAAACCTACCTGACAATTGATATTGTCACCAAATCGGCATTCATATATGAGCAGTCCGTCAACTCTAATCTCCATAGAAAAGTCAGAGCCGTCTCCATTGCCAACACCTACAACCAAAAGCACAGCCATATACACCATTTCCAATATGCTACCTCCTAGGAGGACATGATCTGAAATATTCCTTCTCCTAAACAAATCTATAGGTCTACGAGCACATGATCTGAAATATTCCTTCTCCAAAACAAATCTATAGGTCTACGAGCACATGATCTGAAATATTCCTTCCCCTAAACAAATCTATAGGTCTACGCGGACATGATCTGAAATATTCCCTCTCCTAAACAAATCTATAGGTCTAGGAGGACATGATCTGAAATATTCCTTCTCCTAAACAAAGCTATAGGTCTACGAGGACATGATCTGAAATATTCCTTCTCCTAAACTTATCTATAGATAAAGATCATATCTTAAACTGAGCACTCACAACACTCCTATTTGTGCACTAAAATGTACATCGTCATCAGATCTATTAATTAGTCTAATCAGTATCACAGTGTTTACTGGTACCTGTGAGGCCTTCAATTTTAACAGATGTCATTTTCTTCTCTTTTCGTGGAGGTAGTTGTCCTTTCAGATCTTTCTTCACTTTTTCATAATATCCAACATATCTACTCTGAAAAATGAAAATAAAAAAAATGAAGCTCATGCTTATGGCCTAGTTGATGTTTCTACTTTACATGTGCCAATAGATTTGTTAGTGTAAACTTTACTCTCACTGTAATTAGCTTGGGACCCATACACATTTGTTGTTCCACCTTAGAAGCAAATGCTACTCCAGTGCTATGGAAATGCAATGCAAACACTACACAAGTACTATGGTAATGACACACAAGCTGCTATGCAAGTGCTATGCTCTAAATGGAAAACATCACATATACAGGTGTGTACATGTGATCATTATGTAAATCAATAGTCTATGTGTAGCATTAGCATTGTAATGAACAAGGTCAAAATCTTAATTTTGAACATAGATTGTCATTGATATTCTAAATTTCTTGTCTCTTCACCGTTAAATCATTACTATTTACACGCATCATATACTTTCATATCTGTGAAATATCTGAACAATCACCATAATTCTTAAACTCTGAGAGAACACTCTCTTTGTACAAGTAACTTCTATACCAGGTTAACAGACAGAGGATATCTCTGTCCTACACAAAGGTTTCTGATACATCTCTATCTAACACACATGTATAGGAGATATCTCTTGCCTAAAAATAGGTATGGGAGATACTGGAGATAACTATCCTACAAAACCAAAAAGGACGATAACTCTATCCTTCACACCTATATGGGAGATTACTCTTACCCTGGACAGGTGTATCCACACTTTTCATGGTGTGATATATCCTTGTCTCACCCTAGGATTGAAACAGGAGATTCTCTCCCAATTCATAACATTGTATTACATCATGTCAACAACAGCATCATGTCGACAATGCATTTAGCCTGTAACGTCAACATCACATCATGTACATGAAATGGTGAACAGGGTAAGATAAATAGGTTCTCTAACCCCTTGATTGGGAATCTCAACCCTTGGGGAAAGATTCTTAAGTTGTCAAACCCTTAGCAAAGCCTGGTGTTTGGCAACTTAAGAATCTACCCCTTTGGCTTGAGATTCCCCTATCTCATTCCCAATATGATGAAAGATTCTATTAATCCTACACACTGATATGGAAGAAAAGCTCTATCCGAGGCCCCTTTTGCGTATCTGGTTCAACCAGTTGATACTGTTGAACCTGAAAGAAAACGACAGGTGCAGATCTGAACTGAGGCTGACCTCAGAAATGTTGGGCACGTGTAGATTGAGGGGTTCAGACATGCCTGACTGAAACTAAAATGGAGACTATTGCAAGATCAATCCACATGTAGATTTTAATATATATTTCATAATTTAGTGGGCGCATGGAAGAATGACATATTGTTCTTTATATATTGTAATTTATTCTACGAAACTGCGCAATTTTTAGCTCTGCCTATAGTTCGGTCCAAGTGCATTCGTTTATCATGGAATATTTCTGCCACCTGAATCATTTCAACCGGGATACGCCAATGCGACCCTTCACACTGATATGGGAGATAACTCTACCATATGCACATTCGGAACACCTCGCATATGCTACCTAGTTTCGTAGAAAATGACGAAAGGGTATTCCGAATGTCATATGCATTGATATGGGAGATAACTCTATCCTACACACTGATATGGGAGATAACTCTATCCTACTCGCTGATATGGAAACATAGCTCTTACCTTCACCTAAGTACTGGAAATAACAATATCCTATAGGTATGGGCAAATCAGTCAATGATATCTACCTGACTCGGAGTCTCCACTCCCTGGAATGTCTTGCCAACAGTTAAATCTGTTCTCCTGTCACCAAAGTAGCCCAAGCTTTCCTGTAAAATAGGACATCGTAAACTTAAATACAAAACAAATATTCCTTTGTTAATTGCCTCAACTGGAATAAGCTTGTTTCAATTAATAAACAAAAAGAAATAACAAACTGATTTTTCAAAGTTCACAAGAATGTATTTGTTTTTCTTTGCTCTAATCAATGGTATCAAAAACGTTACCTCTGCATCCTCAAACAAGCCACAGTCAATGAGCCAAGTACATATCATTGTGCCCGTCCTACCCTTGCCGCCTTTACAATGGATTGCTATCACATTCTGTGGATCCTGGTTCATAAACTCTCGTGCATTAGCAGTGAAATCTACCATCTCACTGTCAATGAATAAAAAGAAAAATCATTTCAAATTTTCGATATATATTTTTTATGTTAAAACTTATGTGGATTCTACACATGAGTATTTGCTGACAATACAAACATTTACATGCAATTTTCTTTTTTTCACATCTTCAAATACCAATATGACTGTTATTAAAGCATTCAGCTGTTAAAGATACCCTTCAATTATAGTTGGTAGATACCTGTATTACAAAGTTACCTTAGTCTGGGGACATTGTGATCGTCTATGAAAACACGTTCCACTCTGTTGTGGAACAATTCCTCATCATAATCTCTTTCACCTGAAATGTAGAAAATATCAGCATCAGTACCATCATTCTTTAATTGCTTTTAAATCATAATATTTGAAGTCCTTCATCCTTAAATACCTCTGATCGTACACCTGTAGCCCCACAAAGGGAGAGCTTAATATTATATTTTGTATATTCAAATCTCACATGTATACCAGTTCAGACCCTGCTCATGAATGGAAGCCATCATTTTCTGGTGTTCTTTCGCCGCTTCGCTATGCCACAGATAGGTGGCGCTACTCCAGATATTGGCAGGGACGGTAACGGTAACAAATGTATGCGTTTCAATTCCCCACCAAGCTACTACTGTCAGCCTAAAGCTGACCTCAGGCATACTGACCTATGCAGGAGTATATTTTTGATTACAACTCTTGTGACTTTTGCCTTTGGCAAACAAACAAAATGTTATGAAGCCCCATGAAATGTTATAAATCTAAACTTACTGCAAAGGTTATAAATTCTGTAATGGTCCTTGTGTTTTTCATCAAAGAATCTTGCCACTTCCTAAAAATAGAACGTAATTATGAATGCCATTATGAGCTTTGGTATATGAACAGTACACTTTAATATCTTTTGTCGTTTCTGGTGCAAAAATTACTGGAATGCATATCAAAACAAATTCCAATCTAACTCATAATACTGAGCACTGGTGGACTATGAAATACAACACTGACTCTACAATAAAATGTCTACTTACAGTAAAAAATTTATTGGAGTTTACTCTATAAGAATTCAACAGTAATGAGCTCGTGNTACTTTCTGAGTCGGTGATCAACTCGCTCTGACTATACAACTGTACTTTCTGAGTCGGTGATCAACTCGCTCTGACTATACAACTGTACTTTCTGAGTCGGTGATCAACTCGCTCTGACTATACAACTGTACTTTCTGAGTCGGTGATCAACTCGCTCTGACTATACAACTGTACTTTCTGAGTCGGTGATCAACTCGCTCTGACTATACAACTGTACTTTCTGAGTCGGTGATCAACTCGCTCTGACTATACAACTGTACTTTCTGAGTCGGTGATCAACTCGCTCTGACTATACAACTGTACTTTCTGAGTCGGTGATCAACTCGCTCTGACTATACAACTGTACTTTCTGAGTCGGTGATCAACTCGCTCTGACTATACAACTGTACTTTCTGAGTCGGTGATCAACTCGCTCTGACTATACAACTGTACTTTCTGAGTCGGTGATCAACTCGCTCTGACTATACAACTGTACTTTCTGAGTCGGTGATCAACTCGCTCTGACTATACAACTGTACTTTCTGAGTCGGTGATCAACTCGCTCTGACTATACAACTGTACTTTCTGAGTCGGTGATCAACTCGCTCTGACTATACAACTGTACTTTCTGAGTCGGTGATCAACTCGCTCTGACTATACAACTGTACTTTCTGAGTCGGTGATCAACTCGCTCTGACTATACAACTGTACTTTCTGAGTCGGTGATCAACTCGCTCTGACTATACAACTGTACTTTCTGAGTCGGTGATCAACTCGCTCTGACTATACAACTGTACTTTCTGAGTCGGTGATCAACTCGCTCTGACTATACAACTGTACTTTCTGAGTCGGTGATCAACTCGCTCTGACTATACAACTGTACTTTCTGAGTCGGTGATCAACTCGCCCTGACTATACAACTGTACTTTCTGAGTCGGTGATCAACTCGCTCTGACTATACAACTGTACTTTCTGAGTCATAGTAAAATAACTCACCCTGACAGATAGACAGTTATTTCTGAGTCAAAGTGAATTTAGTCACCCTAACAGATAGACAGTTATTTTTGAGTCAAAATGAATTTACTCACCCTGACAGATAGACAGTAATTTCTGAGTCACTGTTAATTAACTCACCCTTACTGGATTCCTATACATTGCCATCATCCCTTTAGATGGAAATGACATAGCAATCACTCTCTCTGGAAAATTAAAATCAGTTTTAGCATTTCCATAATGACGAAGGCTTTTTTCTGAAATTATGTAAATTACAGTATATGATTCAATCGATGAAAACTTGTCTCTTGCAATGATACTCTACTTGGTAATTAATTATATTTTGTAATATATTATAGAAACAAATATTTTCATATAACATTCTACCCAAGCCATCTTTTCAACAGCTCTTTTTATCATTTTATTTCATATTCTTATATAAATTAGTTAATTAACTCATTCATCCCTGATATTCCATAATAAACTATACCAACCTGTGAATTGGAAGAGCCCAAATGTGTCTTCAGGGATGAATGAGTTAAAGGTGTTTGGCTACATAAATGGTCTATTTACACTGTAAATGCTGTAATCAAGCTTAAGCAATGAGTTTACCTGTAATATAGCACAGATCCAGATCAAACCCATCCTTTTGGTATCGCCGCTTGTTCTGGGACACAACACGACGGGAAGCTGTCGCAACGTGTCGCCGTTGCTGTACCATAAGGTAGATAACTCTCAATGCTCTGATAATTCTCACCACTCGACCAATCACAACCAACCTACAACATCCAATATTACAATAACCTTGAAATTGATGATTTTAGTAATAAAAATATTGATTCCAAGACAAGTTGGCAGTTGATTAGATTCTTTCATCTAGATTCACAGTCAGAAAACCTTGTTAAATCATTATAAATCTTTATCATAACAATGTCTGGGAGACCAAGTGGAAAATAAAAATGGAACAAATGATGAAAGTGTCACTGGATTTAGTATTTTTACAATCTATGTCAATTTACAAGTTATATTTCAGACATTGGTTACTCCCTCATTAAAGTTTTACAGTGGCCTGAGAGACAACAAAGCCTATGGTCTGGTCCTACTTTTATGCAGTAACATATAAAGTGGTAAGGTACATGCAGTACAAGGTATTTTGACAATTGAAGGTCATTGCCATCCACCTTGTAAACTGACAAGAGCATATTTAACCTTCAAATCTCCATCCTTCATTTGAGAATTTACAAAATTAGGCTGAATTTGTTTCACTACGGTACCCTATGTCAATTTCACAATACATGTAGTATAATTTTATACTTGATTAACAGTCTCACAAGTCTATAAAGCTATCAAGTCTAAAACTACAAACTTACCAGGTAAATAAGTGGCAAGTTGTCAAGGTAACATTTCATAGAAAAACGTATTTAAACATGCATACATGCATGTATACTGTGTACCAATAACTGGCCAGATTCCAGATGGACAGACAGATAGTATAAACATAGCCCCAAAAGTTTGCTGGGATTCTAGCATACACCCAAAAATCTTGTTACTTAATCCACATATAAACCCCATAGCATGGGAAATGTAATGATGAAGGACCTACCTGATATAATCGATGTCTTGATCAGTTGATGACAAACCAATGTATACCATATCTAGGATAAAGGATACAACAATTACCCCTCCATCAACCATGTCCAGGATACTGCTGAAAAATAGCCGCCTGCAAAGAAATTAAAACAAGGAAACTCACTTTAAGACAAACATATGAAAGGTAAGTTGGATAAGTTATCTGTAAATTAACATTGATATCATCATCAACAGTTATTGTAGGAATGAGAGTGAATTCACTGTCCGTCCTCACTGTAGCAGATGCATTTCAAAAGAGATTTTTATAAAATTTTACACAAACTTCAAGTATGAGAATAACTCAAACGAGTTTATATCTTTCAGGGTTCCAATGTCAAAGATAAAGCAACAGTAAATATTGATTGATACCGATTATTGATAAATCATTTGTTATATACAAAGGAGAATTTTGAACATATCTTTGGTACGTTGAATTGGTGTTTCAGGGTGCTAAGGTTAGAATAAAACAATTCCATTTGATTGATAATTTAAAGCTGATTATTCAAAACGTTGATAGTTTTACACTGTAAACCTTTTTCAATGATCGATTTGGAGTAAAATGAGATGTGTATCTTTCACATAGGAATCTCTCTGATAGATGTGATAAAAGTATCTTTGTATACAACCTATAATAGATAACATTTACATTGCTTCAAATGATCAACACCCTTTGAATAATTGGTTTTGGGCAATCTTTTTGATACTTCATAAAAAGAGCGGAAAATACATGCAAGCGAACATTAAATGTAATTTCTAATACTTTTAGTAAATACCAACTGACATTAACTTACTCCAGATAAAATATGCGTGCTGCCACCTCGAGTAGGAAATAGGTGATGATACAGTGGGAGACAATCTCTAAGCCACTGCTGGCACTGTCTGTGTTAGCCAGCCCAATAATGGTCAGGGTCAAATCCAACAGGATCAAAACCACAGTCAGGAGGCGGAATAAGATATGCTCAATGACAGCCTTGAACTTGGACTGAATGAGTCTGAGGGTAAATAGACAAATCATAAGTATGCAGACAAATCAGCTACTAAATAGGACTCATATATAATACAACATAGTGCTAATATTCTAAACTAGTTACAAATTTATATTCAATAATTGCCATACATGCCTCACAAGGAATCTACATAAAAAAGACTTAAGTAACCTAAATTTGACCCCCATCATTTTTTTTTAATCCCCTTAAACCATGTCTCAAAATTACAAATCACCTGCTCAGTAACAGAAATACTCACTTTTTAGCATAGCTCCATCTGGTGGATTTTGCACAATATTTAATCATGTGCCAATTTCAAAAATATACTACATAAAAAGCTAAGGCCAGGCAAAATATATGTGTTTCCTGAAACATTGTTGGAAAAATTTAGGGTAGGTAGGTATGGTAACAATTTTTTTTTAACAAATGATTTTATATGGTTTATATAGGAGAGTGATCTTGACTTTAACAGTGCCTCTTTGAAAATTGCCTAAAAAAAGTTTAGGGTAGGCACACAAAATTAGGGTAGGTAAGGTTACCGGAAACAACAAATATTTTTGTCTGGCCTAAGCTTTTGCTGTGTAGACACAGGTTTGTAAATGGCCAAAACTGTGCTCATAAACCAAATGCAGTATTTTTTTCTTGAAAAATTATAAAGCCCACATAGTCCACTTCATCATATATATGTATATGCCAATTTTAATGCTGATTAAATAAATATTTGTTGATACATGTTATATTACAGTGGCTATTCGATCACTGTACAAAAATATCACCCATGGTCACGTTAGGCTACTGTATACTGCTACCTCAGAAATGTTGCATCATTTATAAAATCCGAATTCTGGATTTTATTAAAGTATATTAAGGCAGTGATCTATTGTATTATGCCTACACGATGAAAAATTTAGAATTACTTCAATCCAGTAAGTTGAACAGACTGGGCAGGATCATCAACATATTCTAAACCGGCTTTGTTATCCGATTCATAGAATGTCACTTGTCCTTCCTCCGCAGGGTCATTAACTTGAATGTGTGTATCTTTATTCTCTCTACCTTCCGCTGTAGTGACATCAATTTCAGCTGCCCCCTCAGGCTCACCCCGATCCGAGTCAAATCTCTCATAGTTACTCATGTTAGCATCCACCTTAAAATTCACAAAAAAGTACAAATAACTAAAACAACTGAAAAATAAGATATACTGAAGTATAGTTTTTCGAAAAAAACATCTTTTCAATTAAAATGTCACCCTCACGGAGATATGATAATGCTGATTCAAGAGCAAATTCAATTTAACTTCCTCTTATCTGCAGTGTACTTTGTAGATGCATGTATATACAAAGTGTAACTAAGGAGAGGGGAAAATGCATGGCCAGACCAGGGTTCGAATCCAGGACCCTCCAAACTCTAATCGGGCACTCTAACCAATTGAGCTACGTCAGGTCGCCAATGATCGACCCAGTCCAGTTTCGCTACAGAAGTAATAGGAAAAGAAAAGTGCAAAACGGTACCTCTTAACTCCAGATGGTTGCATGCCAAAGTATTACAAAGGTTGTTATCAGTTCTACACAAAACAATGTGTGATCATTACATCCCAGAATTATTCATTTGTGATTGCAGAGAAATGAGATCATGCAAAAATGTCATAAAGGATTTCAAGCAAGGTTATGATTTATACTTTGGGAGACAGCAATATGTTGATAATAGATAGAACCAATTCAGGCAATTGTTTTGTCGAAAATAAAAATCTTTTGCGATGTTGACAGGTTTCTAGCAGCTTTTTATACAGGACGGTTAAACACATAGTCCTTTCAATTATTTATCTTCATATACTTAATTTCCTCCACCAATAATGATATTAAAGACATTCAACACTCGACAAAAGAAGGCCACAGCAAAAAGGGGGTGTTTCTCACACCCTTGAAAAAATCGTCTGCTTCATAACTTCTTTTTCGAGAAATGACATGAAATCTATAAAATGAGCCGTCTTCTACAAGTTTAATATTACATAAAACAGCTAGCATACCCGTTTTTGAACACATGAACACTTTTTTTGTTGTTTTTACACCAAATACCCGTGCTCACATTTCAGAGACAGCTCTTCACGTTTTCCTTCTCCCGACTCAGTATCTCGTTATTATGTTAGATGACATTTCATTGGAGAATGATTTCCAGTAAACCAATCAGAAAAGAGATGACAAACCAAGTTCGTCAGGAAAGAAGCGGAAGTGGCGAAAATGAAAATGAGATGAAAATATCAGGCGAGATGAGAATGTCGGCTATAGGTTAGTTAGGTTAGTTACGCTTAGACATGGAGGATATTTTAGACCAGGTGAAAACACTCAGTGCAGACGAGTTGAGGACGCAATTAAAGGAACACGGAGAGACTGTCGGACCTATTTTACGGACCACGATTGCGCTTTTTCAAAAACGGTTGGTAAGAAAAATCATTGCATCCCAACAAACGACGTTAACCACCGACTCAAAAACATCCGTTGATGGCAGACGACTTTGTTCGTTGTCAGGAGGCAAAGATGAAGGGAGTGACAGTTGCAAAACTGAATGTGTTAATAGGACCCCTTTCCAACCAGACAACCCCTTGCCAGATTCATCATCAGATTTATCGGACGGTGTGGCCAGTTCAAAAAGTGTTTCACAGGGTGAAAAAACTGAAGACACCGAAATCAAAATAGCCCAGATAAATTTAGAGGCATCTCATTTTTATGGAGTCAGTTTACCTGCCACTGTCAGTAAAGAAGAGATTGAAGGTGAACACATATTGTAATGCCATAGGATTATTGATTGTTCATTGTTGAATCATACTTCATTGCCTTTACTGTTTCATGTTTTTATTGATTTTTTTGATGCTCTATCTATGGTGACAATCCGAATGTATTGTTTTAATCACATTAGCTTGTCAAGATAAACCATCATAGCACTCTATGGAATGAGTCATATATTTCCCCTATTTCTGTTTAAAATGTCCCAGTATATAGCTTTCCATGCAAACAAGTGGGAAGGATTTGGTTTTGTTTACTGTATACTGTGAAATTTTCGCCACAGTTTAACTTTCGCCTTCTTCACCCACCCTAATGAGAGCAGATTTGTTATGACAGCAAATTTTACTTTACAACCTGTAATATATAGCTATTGGTACATGTATGCGCAATTAACAATGGGCAAACATGGTATTTTTCTCAGAAAAGGGCAAATATTTGACTGAGTGAAAGTGTCCCAGTATACAGTAACAGCTATGGTCATTTAAGGACGAGTCAGACTTTGGCAGTAGATGAAACTCACAATACCTGTGGCCAGTACCTTGATGGGACTCCCAGTGGCGGATTCAGAAGGGAAAGCACACAGTGCCCATATCATGCTACCCTCTTGGTGGCTCTGAGAATAAAAAATCTTTCATATATATAAAGAAGCAAGATCATCAGTGCTCGCCTCGAACTCTCCCTCAAGTTCCTGGGGAAAATACTTATTTACTGTTATAAATATAGCACAACTGGCCCCAGTGAGACTAAGTAGTCATCTTATAATTATAAGGTGATACCATTACACAAGACCAGAAACCTGATAGCTGACATGACCGATTTCAGACCTTTGTGAGGGGCCCAGATCATGGACGTTGTTAGGGAAATGCAGAGCTTGAAAATCAATGCAAACACACAACTTGTACTTCTACAGCCTGAAAGTTTGATTTAAAATAATTACAAATAACGAAGATAACATTTTAGTGGAAATGACAATAAATCAAAATGATAAAGCCAGCAATTATATGTTGAGAAATTTAAATACCGGTAAATAATGCTAATATCACAACAGTCTGATCTCAAGAAGTTGGCATTTCATTGAAAGCAAATTTAGGATAGTTATTTCTACTAGTGTTGTCCCGATGATCCATTATAATCGATATCTATTTGGAAAGACAACCAATTCCCGACAATCGATTATGAAATGTCAACATTGATGATTGTTTTCAAAACCGGAAGTGCAAGTTCTACTTTCATTTTCACTAATAGAGAACGGGAGTTCTATGTCATTTTACTCTTAACTATAACTTCTTACCAATCATGCTATGTAAACATAATTAATTGCAAAAAATAAATAAATGTTAACTGTTCATCAATTAAGATTGTTATGTTGAAATGATATGATAAAAAATAAAGATAGGAAACTATGCGGAAAAGTTAAAATTTCATTAGTAGTATAATAAAAGAAAAAGCCATGTCATTGTTTTAAATAAAGAGTAATTTTTTTTTGAAGGATTATGAAACGGTAGGCTTACCGATTAATAATCGAAAATTGATCAGTTGACACTAACCGATTATATCCGATCATCAATGTTGAAATCTCAACCAATTCCCAACACTAATTTCTACCACTTACTCCAATATCTAAAAGGTTGATTTTAAGAAACTTGAGATATTAATCGAAATATTCAAGAAAGATATAAACAAAAACAACACTGTAAAATAAACACAAGGATTGATTGAGAAAAAGGGAATATGACAATAAAAAGACAACATCAAAATAAGTTCATCCCAGCCCAATTTCTTTTTTTGCAATTAAATTATTACAGTGTGTGTTAGGGGAGGGGGCAAGGGATAATTTTGGCACCTGGTAGTTTTTGTACCTAGGAAAAGGACATTTTGTTATTTTTTGTCGAGACAAAAAATACTTAAGAACTAATAAAAACAGCAACATATAGGTCTCAACAATTGAGCACAGGCAAAAGTTTAAAATGTTTGGCTAAGTGTCGAAAATATCATAAAATATTGAAAGGATTTTTGTGAAGTACTGAAACATCTTGATACTGAAATATCTGTACCCCAGCAAGATAGCGAAAGGTTTTCTTTTAGAGTTTTTGCTTGATTTATTCACAGATCAGTGCTTCGTCTTTACTGATAAAGACTCGGCCCTAAAATCAGTGAAGAAATATACTGGGGCACGTTTCAAGGTGTTCAAATCAAAGTCGGAAGCTGATGAATTTTCCCTTAATTCTGCTGATGTCAACTCTCCATGGAAAAAGGGGTCAAAGGTAAAGTTTTCAAATGGTCTGTTTACTGACTGTTATTATACATATAACGACAATAATAAATGTTAGAAGGCGTTAGTACACCCTCAAAAGTAATACATATGTTTATTGATAAAATCTTTATTTATTACATTCATTGACTCTAAATTTAATTGTGTACAAATTCCTAATATTCCTAATCCAAAATGTGCAATGGGTTAACCTTATATCTGGTATTATGTTTAGTGAAATATTGATGTGTTTTATACTACGGTGTAAAATCAAAGTCTTAGTTATGTTCTGACAATTGCCCACTGATATATAATTACTGGAAAGAAACACGTAAACTTGGATTAACTTTAGAAATACACCTCAGTTGATGTTGTTGAGGTCATCCTGATATTTACATACCCTAGATTATTACCCCTGCTGAAGTGAATTCCATTAAAACATATATGAGGAATCCACCAACCTTGGGTACACTGAACTTCACTGAACCTCCAGCTGGGTGGTGGAGCTCACTCTATCAGGTTTAACCGACCCTGAAAGGGACACTTTGCTATTTTATCCAAAAACATTATACTGGGGACTAAGTGATCATTTTAACAGAAAATAGCATACCCCGTGTATTTAGAGTTAAGGAAATTCAAGAGATGTTATGATTTAAGTCTTCCCAAAATAGCTTCTAAAAAAAGTTCTGAACATGAAATAAATAGGAAGCATCCCATGACAAGTTATTAAGGTAAGGGCTACCAACAAGTTAGCATCCCATGACAAGTTATTAAGGTAAGGGCTACCAACAAGTTAGCATCCCATGACAAGTTATTAAGGTAAGGGCTACCAACAAGTTAGCATCCCATGACAAGTTAATTAAGGTAAGGGTTACCAACATGTAATTAGCATCCCATGACAAGTTAATTAAGGTAAGGGTTACGGTAAGGGTTACCAACATGTAATTAGCATCCCATGACAAGTTAATTAAGGTAAGGGCTACCAACAAGTTAGCATCTCATGACAAGTTAATTAAGGTAAGGGCTACAAACAAGTTTAACTATGTATATTTTTACCATGTTGTAGCTACTGTGAAATATTTTACAGAATTGCAGTTGTTTGAAATTTGAATGTATGACAATATAAAGAAAAGAAAATACTGCAGGGTTCTAACTCATGATCTTTACATTGCAAATCCTTCAGTGTACACTTTACCAATGTTGCTACACAGAAATTATTAAAGTACAGCATCAAAATTAGTGTCCAATTTATAATATACATATTTGTGGTTAGCAGCTTTCTATGTATTTCTTTTGGTGTTTACATTTGATTTTCACTTACCAGACTGCTGGTGAGCTGACCCCTGGAGTAAGTGTGGAGAGCTGTCCCTACAAAGCTCCAAAGATACAAGAGTTAATTGTACTTAGGACAAGGATAGAGCAGGGTGAATGTAGAGTGGTAGAAAACATGTTCTGGGAAAACCCTCGAATGCTGATCAGCAGTGGTGACACTCCCACTATCCTACAGGTAAAGAGGACAAAATGTCTCCTTTCTGTCAACTGTTGTTCTTTTTATATCTAATCTTACTTAGCTTTTAAAATTGCTACATGTGTCACTTATCTTGTTCCTGTTTGCAATTGAATTAACAGCATTATGAAATTTACCTGGAGAACATTTCACTTGTGTACCCGATACCTTGTGACTGATCATGAGGATACACAGTTATCATAGAATCTGTGTGGGTTGCTAACATTCTTACCATAGGGTTAACAAGATTAAAGTTGGGGTAAAGCTGGGTGACATTTGACTGCAATATGGGCACAAACTAATGTCTGTTGAATGCATAAATAGATATGTAAGCAGAGAAGTAATATCAACATTGTGAACAATAAAATCTTCGATGCAATCTGCCGCTTTATCAAGACACAGTCATGGAACAATTGAATATCACAATATATACAACGGAGAAAATATAGTGTATATAAAACAATTACATACAAAAATATATGCAACCGAAAAAATAATCATATACACCACAAAAAAAATAAAACTGAGAAAAACAGTTACCATTGAACTTTTATGCTGATTTTAAAGTATATCCCTTCAGCTGGCTTGGAGCTAAAGGCTGTTTCTAATGAAAAAAAATCCATCTTTAGATTGTGACCCTAAGAATGTGTATCAAAGTGAATTGATAAATAAAAATTGTTAATAAAAGTAGTGGATGAACCTTCAAATGCAGTGAGGTTATATTATCTTCAGTCAAATTGTTTTTTATAAACATATAATACCAGTATGTTATTGTACTAGGTACATGTTCATAGGTGAATTTGAAACAATATGTTTAAATATCTAGTCCAAAACAATTTGAAAACTGCTGTCTTCTATAGATATTTTACCCTTTTCAAGGATCTTCAGGAGGAATGATGAGGAACTGCTTGAGGAGAGCAATTTTCAAACTTATTTTTTACATTATTCATCAAATGTTTCAAAGACTACTTTTTTCTTATAAATATATATATAGAAAATAAATATATAAATATATATATAGAGAATAAATATATATATAGTGAATAAATATATATAGAGAGATAATTCATTCTTTACTGTATTGATATCTCAGGAAAGTGCCCGCTACAATGCTCTCCACGTAGCGGCCAAGAGTAACCAAGCGGCCATGTGTCAACTTATCCTGGATACACTAGAGGATCCTAGCCTGATTGATAAGCTTTATGCACACACCAAGGAAACACAGCTGACACGCACCAACAGAATCAACTTTGTGGTGGACCTATACCTCAACACTCCAGACAAAGGGGTATATATCATGTTCATAATTGCCAGCTTTTTAATATTTTCATGGGGAAGATTATACGTACTCTGAATTAAAAGAATACAAAAATGTGTGTATGTACACCCTAGGGACAATATAACACTTGTTTATATAGGAGCAGGGGTATTAGTAAGCCTTTAGTTTACAGTTCTGGTTTATATATGAGCGGGGGTATTAGTTAGCCTTTAACTTACAGTTTTATTTTTTGCTGTTCAGATGAAATCATCAGATCTTATAAAATAGGAATAGTTAAGCAAATTCTTTTTGAAAATGTTCTATTTAAGGGTCCAAAATCAGGCGTATCCCTCAAAAACAGGGAGAGTTGGCAAGCTTGCTTGTTTGTCTCTTTAGTAAAAATACACATGTACATGTATCTGTATGTATTTCAGAACTGTGAAACTCCGTTACACTTTGCGTGTAAGTTTGGACACAAGGATGTTGTTTCTGTGATTGTGTCTCACCCAAAAGTAGACCGGAATTTACGTAACAACAATGGTCAGACTGCCTCAGAGGTAAGTAACAGCAGTGGTCAGTCTGTCTCAGAGGCAAGTAACAGCAGTGCTCAGACTGCCTTAGAGGTAAGTTACAGCAGTGGTCAGACTGCCTCAGAGGTAAGTAACAGCAGTGGTCAGACTGCCTCAGAGGTAAGTAACAGCAGTGGTTAGTCTGTCTCAGAGGCAAGTAACAGCAGTGGTCAGTCTGTCTCAGAGGTAAGTAACAGTAGTGGCCAGACTGCCTCAGAGGTAAGTAACAGTAGTGGCCAGACTGCCTCAGAGGTAAGTGATAGTAGTGGTCAGACTGCCTCAGAGGTAAGTAACAGTAGTGGCCAGACAGCCCGAGAGGTAAGTAACAGTAGTAGTCAGACTGCCTCAGAGTTAAGTAACAGCAGTGGTTAGTCTGCCTCAGAGGCAAGTAACAGCTGTGGTCAGTCTGTCTCAGAGGCAAGTAACAGCAGTGCTCAGACTGCCTTAGAGGTAAGTTACAGCAGTGGTCAGACTGGCTCAGATGTAAGTAACAGCAGTGGTTAGACTGCCTCAGAGGTAAGGAACAGTAGTGTTCAGACTGCCTCAGAGGGAAGTGATAGTAGTGGTCAGTCTGCCTCTGAGGTAAGTAACAGTAGTAGTCAGACTGCCTCAGAGTTAAGTAACAGCAGTGGTTAGACTGCCTCAGAGGTAAGTGATAGTAGTGGTCAGTCTGCCTCTGAGGTAAGTAACAGTAGTTGCCAGACTGCCTCAGAGGTTAGGAACTGCAGTGGTCAGACTGCCGCAGAGGTAAGTGATAGTAGGGGTCAGACTGCCTCAGAGTTAAGTAACAGCAGTGGTTAGACTGCCTCAGAGGTAAGGAACAGTAGTGTTCAGACTGCCTCAGAGGTTGGTAACTGCAGTGGTCAGACTGCTTCAGAGGCAAGTAACAGCAGTGGCCAGACTGCTTCAGAGGTAAGAAACAGCAGTGGTCAGACTGCCGCAGAGGTAAGTGATAGTAGGGGTCAGACTGCCTCAGAGTTAAGTAACAGCAGTGGTTAGACTGCCTCAGAGGTAAGTGACAGCAGTGGTCAGACTGCTTCAGAGGCAAGTAACAGCAGTGCTCAGACTGCCTTAGAGGTAAGTTACAGCAGTGGTCAGACTGGCTCAGATGTAAGTAACAGCAGTGGTTAGTCTGCCTCAGAGGCAAGTAACAGTAGTGGTCAGAGTGCCTCAGAGGTTAGTAACTGCTGTGGTCAGACTGCCTCAGGGGTAAGTAACAGCATTGGTCAGACTGCCTCAGAGTTAAGTAACAGCAGTGGTTAGACTGCCTCAGGGATAAGTAACAGCAGTAGTCAGACTGCTTATGAGGAAAGTAGCAACAGTGGTCAGACTGCCTTAGAGGTGAGTAGCAGCAGTGGTCAGACTGGCTCAGATGTAAGTAACAGCAGTGGTAAGACTGCTTTAGAGGTAAGTAACAGCAGTGTTCAGACTGCTTCAGAGGGAAGTAACAGCAGTGGTCGGACTGCTTTAGAGGTAAGTAACAGTAGTAGTCAGACTGCCTCAGAGGTTAGTAACTGCAGTGGTCAGACTGCCTCAGGGATAAGTAACAGCAGTAGTCAGACTGCTTATGAGGTAAGTAGCAACAGTGGTCAGACTGCCTAAGAGGTTAGTAACTGCAGTGCTTAGACTGCCTCAGATGTAAATGACAGCCAAATTTCAATGAAAATCTAAATGGTCAGAGTGAATGTAGGAGTATAACAGTCATAGTTTGTTTGAAAACCTGTCCTGATCATTCCTGAACTCAGGTTACAATAAGCAGTACTCTGCATTTAAGGGTTAAGATGTTTAATATTTGATATATCTTTATTTTTTGCAAAAAGTATCTGTGCCTGTTAATTAGCACTGTTTCTGTGTTTTGACAGGTGATTTGCAGTAGATGTTCAAAACCAGAAGAAAATTTGAAGGATGAAATTAAAGAATTACTAGAGGGTACAGTATCATTAACCAACTGGTCCAAAGGGCAAATGAGCTTATTATGTGATGCATCATCCAACTGCCACCTGTTTGTTAAAGGGCAACTTTTCTAGAACAGATAAATGGTTTTGACAACATTTTGTATGGAGCATCCTTGGGCCAAGGGGACCAAACTTTGTTAATTTTGAATTTGGACAAAACTAGAGTTGGACCAAAGTGATAAATATTTTACCATGGTGAATACTATTGTTTTACCAAATGAAGCATAGGGCAAATGAGGGGAAATATCAGTGGTTTCATTGAGAGCCGAGGGTTGGGCAACCAAAATAAAACGCCCGCGGGTTGGAGATTTCTCTGTTACACCCTTAAGGTAGAGAATGATTATTTCTCGCCCATCCTATTATTTCAGTCACAACTCCACGAGAGTCTGCCATGTTTGTAAAGGAAAACACATGTGGGGTATGCATATCGTCATTCACTTTTGATGACGTCACAATTACTGGTGATACATTTTAATGATGTCACAATTACTGGTGATACATTTTTAGCTCACCTGGCCCGAAGGGCCAAGTGAGCTTATGGCATGGTGCGGCGTCCGGCGTCCGTCCGGCGTCCGTCCGGCGTCACCTTTTTTTAACTTTAAACAACTTCTTCTCAGTAACCAAAAGGGCTAGGGTAATGATATTTGGCCAGAAGCATGCTGGGATGAAGGGCTACCAAGTTTGTTCAATAAATGACCTTCAACCATTTTCAAGGTCACAGGGGTCAAATATGTTAAAATCTTTAAACAACTTCTTCTGAATAACCAAGAGGCCTAGGGTGATGGTCTTTGACCAGTAACATGCTGGGATGAAGGCCTTCCAAGTTTGTTCAAATAAATGACCTTGAGTTATATTCAAGGTCACAGGGGTCAAATATGTTTAAAACCTTTAAACAACTTCTTCTGAATAACCAAGAGGCCTAATGTGATGATAGTTGGCCAGTACCATGCTGGGATGAAGGGCTACCAAGTTTGTTCAAATAAATGACCTTCAACCATTTTCAAGGTCACAGGGGTCAAATATGTTAAAATCTTTAAACAACTTCTTCTGAATAACCAAGAGGCCTAGGGTGATGGTCTTTGACCAGTAACATGCTGGGATGAAGGCCTACCAAGTTTGTTCAAATAAATGACCTTGACTTATATTCAAGGTCACAGGGGTCAAATATGTTTAAAACCTTTAAACAACTTCTTCTGAATAACCAAGAGGCCTAATGTGATGATAGTTGGCCAGTACCATGCTGAAATGAAGGGCTACCAAGTTTGTTCAAATAAATGACCTTGATTTATATTCAAGGTCACAGGGGTCAAATATGTTTAAAACCTTTAAACGACTTCAAAATAACTGAGAGGCCTAGCGTGATGATATTTGGCCAGTAACATGCTTGGATTAAGGGCTACCAAGTTTGTTCAAATAAATTACCTTGATTTATATTCAAGGTCACAAGGGTCAAATATGTTTAAAACCTTTAAATGACTTCTTCTGAATAACCAAGAGGCCTAGGGTGATGATATTTGGCCAGTAGCATGCCGAGATGAAGGGCTACCAAGTTTATTCAAATAAATGACCTTGGTTTATATTTTAATGACGTCACAATTGCACACAAGCTAATCGACACGAAGCTGTCTCCCCCTAGTGGGTGACAAGCTGATCTTTCCTGGCTAGAACAGGAGACACACCTGAGAAGGGTGAGAGAATAGATTGTCTACAAGTTTATAAAGCCAATCAGTGAAATTTTCATGCTTAACTGGTCATTGTCTGATGAAGGTGACGAACCAAATAACATATGAGTCATCGCAACATCACACAAACATTTCACTGGTTGTGGATATGAACTTTCATAAAATGTGACCCATTGCAGTTTCAGAGAGGGTTCTTCATTGGCCTTTAAAAGTAAATGTACCAAAGAATTTTCTATTTCTTTAGGTCAGTATTATGTGCCACTGGTCAGGTCCGAAGATAACACAACACAGCCTGTGATTGGTCCACCCTGGTCACCTGACAGTAAGAACCCTGCCATGAATGTTCCGTTCTCTTCATGGAGTCCTAAGGATCCTCTGATGGCAGTTAAGGCATGTGCAGGACCTATGACCCCTTCAAGAGTAAGTCTATTTTAGCTATATTTATGATACACCTGGTATAAAGTGCCACAGTGAGCTAGTTATATGGTGGTGCTTCGTCCGACGTCAGCTGTCATCCATTGCCATTTGTCCATCATGTATTGTCTGTAAAATTTTGTATTATATGACTTCTCCCATACTTCTAAACAGATCAATCAAAATTTGGTGGCCACGAGGATCAAAAGTATGCAAGTAATGGGACTAATTCTCAAAGGGTTTGAGGGGCAATTGGGCAGATTTGCTTCAAATGACACCTCCAAAAGTTTCAACCAAATTGTTGCATGTTGCAGTAGCATTCATAGTCAATGGGGATCAAAAGTTTTACAAATAATGGACTGAACATCCTGGGGTGGGGGCTGAGGCAAGGCCAAAAGTTATCAAATTGTCTCTTTTTTTGGGGGGGGGGGGCTTTCCTCTCAAATTTATTGGGTTGATTTCAACCTCACTCCAAAATTAGCCAGGTGAGCGATTTGGTGCTGATGGCCATCTTGTTAATAAAATAATACATGGGCTATGTCTCCTGATATACTCAGGAACTGTAGGGACATATAGCGACATGGAATGTATATTTGGAAACCAGAACAGTGCATAATAAGAGAAAAAAAAATCTACACACAAATTTCAATGTTCATGGTGATTTGGGTAACAAATCATAGCGTAACAGTTAAAAATTCTTCATGTTGATGTAAAATATTTTTGATATAATTCGCTGGTAAAATGTAATAATCTGCAATTATTTGATAATAAAAACTTGGTTCCAAGTAACCATTTCATAAGGGTAATGATAGGAAACATTGGCCACATAGTCTAGGTAATCTTTCAGTTTTATATTGTAGACAGGAAACATTGGCAAGTTAGTGGTTGTACTTTCATTTAGACCTCTGGTTGTATTTCAGGCTGAGCAGTTCCACAAACAGTGGACCACACCTCCCAGTGGAAGTTCCGATTATATCCGCAGGAAGTTTGTCATTACCCGGCGCGAGGACAGTGACAAAGGCATGGAACGCCTCGGCCGGTTAGTATTAGGTTGATTGATACAACTAGTTTAAATTTTCACACAAATGAAAAATATTCTTAACGGTACATACATGATAGGTGATAGGGATGATACAAGAAAGTGATTTTTTTTTGGTATACAGATAGGTAAAGAAAACATCATCAAACTCAAGTTGACTGGTCCTCACCACCCGCAATTATTATTTTCTGGCCCACTATATAAATGTCAACAATTATTTTAGACACCACCACCAATATAATGTCAATTACAATTGCCACCCTGACCTGCCCCATACAATATGGGTTTATCCCTATTGAGATGTTGTATCATGAGATGGTAGTTACAGGTAGCAATGTATTTGATAGAACATAATGTTAATAAGTGTTAACACAATGTTTATACAATTTAAAATAAGAATCCAGTTTATTTTGGAAAGACCAAGTATGATGTATGTTTTAATTCCACTTTTTCCCATGACAACAGAGACTTGGCCCACCAGATGCAGATCCCTTGGCTTGAGTACTGGGAGTTCCTACAAACTTATGCCGACCTTTCCTCTGAAGATGGATTTGACCTTTTGGAGGAGTATTTCCAGAAACAAAGAATTGCTCTCTGTATTGCTGATGGTATAGAGAAACTTGACCTATTAGCCATGAACCATGCCAATGGAACAGGAACTGACATTGGGATAAGCCAGTATAGTAACTTGTCATGGAATCTATTAGCCTTGAGAGAAGAAGTGGAGAAAGACTTGGAAAGCTCTGATCATGAAAATGATTTTGACTCCATTGATCTGGATGAAGAAATTTTGAATTCTCCAAAACGAGAACCTCAAATCCAGAATGGAGATGCATGTAAGTTAGAAAATGGCGGTGGCGCCATAGCAACCAATGGAACCCCTCCCTCTATGAGGAGTTCTTATCTACGTAATACCCAGAATCTCTACAGTACCCCCATCAGTGGTGAGAGTTACGGTTACGGACGAGCAGGTCTCCTCAGTCGGTCAATGGAGAGAAGCGATCTCATGTTTCAGTCCACTGACAGCATGGCGGGAAATGGCAGTCCCATCTCCTGTCTCTCAGCTCTATTTGCCAAACTATCTCTGCTAGATCGGTCCCGATCTTCTCCAAGAGGGATCTCAAAGTTTATAACTTGTACATCCTGTATGGGAAATCGTTCCCAGCATATCTCCTCACCAGGAGATCACCCTATGGACGCTTCATATGTGTCAACAAAACCCTACAGCAAAGTTCCTTACTTTAAGGAAGCTAATGATACCTATAATGCACATATTGCCGCCCATGAAGGAGGGGAAACTGCTAATCCAAGTAATGTCCCAGTTAGTGTTTGGAAACGCCCACCTTTGACAAAACTCGAACGAGAGGAACTTGAATCAGAAAAACTTAGAGAATCCTCTGCTGCAAAAGCCGACATGAATTGGAGAAATAGCAAACAGCCATCATTGGGCTCGGAGAGTGATTCTGATCCCTCTTCATTAACTCAGTCACATAACTCCGAACTTGACGAGAGCATAAAGGAGTTGACAAACAATTTCAAAAAGAAGGTGGAGTTGCAGAAAGAGGAGGATGTTGTGAACCAATCAGAGGATGGATCTAGCATTGATTGGCAGAATGCCTCCAATCGTCTAAATGTGACATTAGAAATGGACAGAGACAAGATTTCAGGAATCGTGTTTGAATCTCTTTTTGAAACTTTGAATGAGAGAAAAAATCTGGAGAATGTGAGTAATTACAGATCTGCTCCAACACAAACACGACGAGACATTGTTGTGGATTTGAAGGAGGAACCTTTGTATAAACGTGACATTATTATTGCTGACGTAGCTGTGATACCATTTCATTGTAGCGTCGCAGAGATGCACCTTTTCAATGACATTCCATTCAAGGTTATTCATGGAGAGGTTGAGATGGACAAGAGTATGGACATGGAGGCAACTCTGCCTGCTATTATTGATGTGAAGTTTAATTTTATTGGACGTGACGTCACACAGGCTCTGGCCATCAGTAACAGTCTCAAATCAAAGATGTTCTTCATTCACGGGTAAGTAACTTATAGTTATACATATAACATAGAATTGAACCATATGCACTCTCAAATAGAAATAGTTTTACACAAATTTATATATACTTTTGAGGAAAATTTTAAGAAATTGGGATATAAATAACATTCTTCACTCATTTTAGCTTACAATTAATGGTCAAGTGTTCAAATAAGTTTATCAACTTTAATCATAATATTATTACGATAACCTTTGAAAACAAGTCCATACGTTATAAAAGTTGTCACTTAAATGTTCAAACACAAGACTTATTGGATGGAGGGCTGTTCAAATGGCCTTTCAAATGTTATCCATCTGTCTGCCATCCTTAAACAGTTCTTTATATCAACACTTCTTCAGAAATATTAGACAGAACTGTCTCAAATTTCTTTTGTAGGTTTCCCTACGTCCTTAGTTAGTTATGCATGTTTAATTTTGGGACAGAACAAGATACCTGCCATATGGCCATCTTAGATTTTGACAGGTTGAGATTGTTATTGCTATTTTACTTCCTGGATCTTTTTCAAATTTCAAAATTAATGTACATGTAGGTTGCTTCGTTCTGCATGTTTGATTTTGAGGTTGATAGAAGACTAGAATGGCTGCCAAATGCCTTTTAATGGCAATCTTGGCTTTTGACAGTTGAATTTTGTTATCACATAAATAATCTTGGAAAGTATTTAAGTGACCTTTCCTGAATTTCATTATTAGATGTCCCTAGGTCTCAAGATGTGCATGCTCAATTTTGAGACTGATTGTAAGAACAAAATGTCTGCCTGGTGGCCATATTAGAGTTTTACAGTTATAGTTTGATGAGATCAAGAATAAGAAAAAGAGAGAGATAGAGCCTTTTATACGCCCGTCAAATTTGACGGAAGGATTATGGTATGGGGTTGTCTGTCCTTCCAGCATAAACTTTTGTTTGTCTGTCAATCTCCTCCTACATTTTTAGACCGATTTCTTTGAAACTTGGTATACATTATAATCATGATATGAAGTTGAGTCTCCTTTGAAAGAATTTTGCTTCAACAATTATTTGCAACAGTTATTGCCCTTTGTTCATTTCAGTATTTGATTTTTTGTCTGGAGATCTCCTCCTACATTTTTTGAAGCATTTCTTTGAGAAACTTAGTAGGCTAAATAATCAGCATTTCTTTGAGAAACTTAGTAGGCTAAATAATCATGATATGTTGTTGTGTTTCCTTGAAAAGAATTTTGATTCAATGACTTTTGCAAAAGTTATTGCCCTTTCTTCATTTCAGTATTTGATTTTTTGTTCGGAGATTTTCTTCTGCATATTTTATAACATGTCAGCTAACCACTCTTAGAATGATCGGGTCTTATTTCAATGTAAGAAAGTATATAACACTATATTATGGCATTCAACAGGCATATATTGGTCCGCCCCGCGGTACTCTTGTTTTCAAATTTCATAAGTAGTTAAGTTGTGCATGATGTTCAATTTTAGAAGTGATCACAAAAATATGGCTGTTTGCAGGCAGTCATCTTGAAATATTTAAGCTCCTGTGTCAGTGACGCAGGTGCCGATCTGAGGCCCTATAGTAATCACTGCATGTGTCTATCTGACCATCCACACTTTAGTTTCCTGAGTTTATCTTTGAATCCAAAAGACCAATATTTCTAAAATCTGACAAGGTGCACGTGATACACTTTGGTATGTTGATGTGGAGTAGGGATTTAACAATCACTGAGGTCAAATTCAAGGTCACAGTAATTAAAAATAGACCATGGGGGTCCAGTTCTTATCTCGGAATCAAAAATACAAATCATGGTGATACACTGTGGTATTTAGATGTGCAATATGCTTTTTCCTCACGTACAGGTGGTATCCATCTTGGTTACTCTTGCTTCGGAGGTGTGAATGTTGCATTTCAGTCCGATTGAAAAAAGAGATGGCCACCAGGCAGCCATCTTGACTTTTACCATCAAGGATGTTATTGCTATTTCTCAAAAAGTAAATAAAGTACAGTAGTCTACATGCATGGCACAGATCTTTCTCAAGTTCCAGGAGTAGGTTCTTTTAGTTCACTTATCTTGAATATTTGAATTTTGAATTTGAGCTACAAGTTGCATGATCAAAGAAAAATAGGCTGCCAGTTATTATATATCCATGTATCTCTTGTTCCTGCTTTATGAAATGCATTTCTAGTGAAGCTATAGATCAAAAGACAACCTTACTTAAAAACAAGAGGCCCAATAGGCCTGCATCACTCACTTGATATTAATCTCAACTTGTAACCTTAAAAGTGATCTAAACTAAAGCTACAGGCAAAATATCAGTATCTTTGATTCTAAAAGTCATTCAAAAGATGTTAAAAGATTCAAATACATTTGGCCCCAGGTATGACGTTGAAGTCTAGCAGGTTATTAAGTTGAACAAACTTTATAGCCTTTCATGTTCGCATGCAACTTGCCAAATGTCACCATTCAGGTGAGGTCATGTCAAGCTTTTATACACATTTCACCATATGTGACCTTGAAAGTGATTCAAGGTCATTCATATGAACAATCTTAATAGCCCGTATGATACCGTTCAAATATCATCACTAGTGATCTTTTGGTTATTCAGAAGTTTTTGAAAGCTTTTTAAAACAGTTGACATCTGTGATCTTGAATATGGAGGGAGGTCATTCATTTGAAAGAAACTGGTAGCCCTTCGTCCCTTCATGCAGCTTTTTAGTTATTGAATAAGTTAACAATGTTTTTGGTGATTTCACACAGAACATAGCTCCGAAGTCATACATAGTTTGACTACATTATGTATTGCATTTGAAAGAAAACGCACAATAGGCGTATGTTGTTTGAAGAAAAATGGTAGAAAAAAGTAAGGTTCTGAAAGGTGTACAGTAGGTTGGGTTTGCTTAAATTTGAAATGGGCAGTTTCTCTTATTTGTTCAAATATGTGGAGTACAATATATCCCAAGGAAGCAAAATTAACTGGTTTACTGCTTGATCCAGGTACCGCCCGACCAAGTCTGACCTGGATGCCTATCGGGCCATGGAGGGGGCCTCTGTGGATAATGACCGGTACCCTACAGTACAGAAGTGGAGGACCCAAGTCCTGTCCTACACCACTGACTCCACCTTCAGGTGATTGACATTAATCAAAATTAGGGAGGCGTGGGGGGTTAGGCCAAACAAAAAATGTTTGTTTCAGGTTTTGCCTGAAAAAAATAGGGCAGGTCAGTAGGCAAATAATTTATTTCAATGGAAATTTATATATTTTCATGAATCAATATTATGATTTACCGGAGGTATTTCAAATTTTCACAATGCATTTCCACACATAACAATGGCTATTAATTTGTCTAGAATAATGTCGTGAGACTCCCAGAACAGGTTAAAAGTACATTTTAATGAGTGGCTGTACACTTTGCCTTGCTAGTATATTGATCTATTTTAAGTAGGTGATAAAATATCTAGGGTCGGCTGTAAAATCTTGGGTAGGTCGGGATACCTGAAACACACAAATTTTATTGGCCTAATATATCCAATCAAAAACTTGGAGTATGTCTCTTCTAATGGTCTACTGTATGTTTTAAGGAAACAAATGTATTGTTTCTATCAAAAATAGTGATTAAGTACAAGTTTGGATTGTTAATTATATATACATGAGCTACATATAGGACATGTAAACTCTTCTCAACTTAGTTGCAGGGTAACTTCTGGGAAAAGGTACAAACTATTTTAATTGTAAGTTTTTTTTCCTTGAATAGAGTAGACATTATGATTATTATAATATGTCTGGAATAGAACGGTAAGTAGTTTTACTTCGATACATGTACACAAGTTGTAAATACACCGGATTGTCATCAGTCATAAAAGGAAATAAGTGGTACGAGTCATCAGGAAGTATTTGGAGGAAATGTGCATTAATTCACAGATTTTACTATAGAAATGTAAGTTGCTTTAATTCAATAGTAGAAAGATTGATTTATATAATACACGGCTGAAGTCACCAGGGACATCAAGAGAAAGAGATAGACTTTCACAGCGTTTTGTTACTGTTAGGATTTGAGGGTTACATAGATATATATAAACAATGAAGTTTGGTGCCAAAACATTCTCCATCTGTAAAGTATCCCAAATTAATCACAAAAGTTTAAAATACAGTTAAGATAAAAAGTATTTTATGAATTCTCAGATCATTATTTTATACCATATCTTTTGTTTCTTGCCTTCAGTTGGCAGAGTCCTGCAAGGGCGAGGAAGCAGTCCAATCTATCTTCAAGCTTCCCACTTGGTTCCTCCAAATCCCAGGCAGATAGTCCAATCACATTTAGTCCAGTAGCGCCGCGGAGTCCGAGACACTCCATGTCCTCCAGTCTCACCATGCCCAACATTCGGACACAACTATTCTCATCGTCTGGTCCCAAGAACCGCTGGTCAATGATCAATTAAATTTCTGCTTACCTTTGACCTCTGATATAGTTACAGATCTGTAAAACAACTGTGGTATTGTTGATTGGAATACTTGACCTCTGACCTGCCATATGATGTGAATTTGAATCTCAAGTCTCAACCTTTGAATACTGGGACAACAAGATGTAGTAGAACCACTAGACACCTGTGATAGAACAGTGAACACTCTACAAAGTCTTTGTTGTATGTAATTCACCACCAGTAACGTTGTGTCTACAGTCGTGATACACATGTCTACACTAAAGCCTGTCGATCACGCATTTTGATTATCAAGGGACTCCTATTAAGGGTTATTAACAAGTTTGAGGTCATAGTAATGTTTTCCAACTGCTTTTATAAAAAATCTTGTAGTTATAAATGTTGTGTATGTATAACACGTAATGATATTACTGATTTTACTCCGAGTTATTTTAGATGTTTAATTGCGTGAAAGTATGGTGAATCTTTTTATTTTAAGTCTATACATTGTAATTTCTGGGGAGAGACAAGAAAAAAAAGTGAGTATTTTTGATGGATTACTACAATTGAATTGTAACTACTAGTAAAATAATTCGCAAAAAAATTGTGTCCAGGAAGTAGATTTACCATGTTGATGATGTTACTGCCAGTCAATATTTTTAGCTCACCTATCAGTAGTATTGGGGCGCTTATTAATAGTCATACTGGCATTGCCAGGCTGAAGTTTCGACATTCATTTACACAATACAAAATGTATAACCTTCTGTATTTGTCCTAGGTATTATGACGTTTGACATGGAGGTCCAAAGTTATTCTGTTCATGCAGTGCGGTCTACATAGAATTTTGTTTTCCCAACTTTTTACTAATTTTGGACAGATTTTTGCCAAAACCTCCAGGTTAAAGTTTTTCTTGCAAGTGCTGACTTTTATCTGCTGACATTTATCAGCAATTTTGTTGACCCGCTGATATTTGGCACAGAAGTACCCAATTAATGCTCCACTCCACATATTGTTAATTGTCTGAAAAATTGAGATAAATTTTGATGTTAAAACAACATTTAAGCGACAGTACCAATTCCATGTTTTCCCCGAAGATTCCGTCTTTTCTTAGCTTATGTTTTTTTGGCAAATTAGTATTTTATCAAACACCAATGAAATTGAAATAAGTACGGTAAATTGTTACTGATGCTAGCTATAGATTTCATGTTAAGCTCCTTTAAACTGGGGGCGTGGACATATCCATTTTTTTCAAACATTTTCTAGCTACTAACTTAAGAGTATAAAACATTGTAGGATAGCGTGTAGAATTTCAGCTGTCATTCATTATATACAGTAAGTCAACCTTTCTACTCCTGAGTAGTAGGAGTTGTGGGCACTTTCCAGTGCTGAAGGTGTAAACAATCTAGTAGGCAAAAAAGTTACTTATCATTATGTCACTCCAGCCTCCTGTAGCTACACTACTACATCTGCTAGTGGGCTTCGTGTAATGATATATATAGTATGTATTGTTATGCATTACTGAATGAGCTAACAATCAGAAGAGATGTGATATGTATTTGGGTGTTGTGTATGTTTATGGAACAGATGACAGATTGTGTTGTACGAAGTATATAGTTGACAATGGAAAGTCAGTTTTGTATGTCAAAAGTCACTGGTGACACAACTCTTCTGTTGTCGAATGTGTAAAACAGGTCTTCTCATTAATAAGTAAATGTCTGTTTTTCAACAAATTAACAAGACTTTATATAGGTTGAAAGCTAGGTGTGGAGTCTTGTTGGAATTTGTGTGTGATTTAGGATGAGCTAGCTGGTATGAAGTTGTGTGTGGACTATGTATACGAGCTGAAGTGAAGTTATATATTGGATTGCATACACTAGATATGAAATAAGCCAGGTACAATTACAATGTACAGTTGAAATGACCTTTACTGTATATTCATTTTGTCAGCATTGCTTTAACATGCACACATTGTGATACAAGAAATCTGTTTTTGTAAAGCATATATTTGTTGCCTTTCAAATGTGTTCATTCCTAGTTTGCTTGAGAACCATTTTAAATCCTTCATTCGTTAACCATGTATTTGTTCTGTCTCTTGAAGTTTATAGACAACCTGTTAAATACACAGGCAGTATATATAGTAGTAGTCCTAGTCCATTTAGAAAAAGTTTGCTTTATGGTAAGGTCCGACTATTGTTCCGAGTGGTAAACATCACATCAATATCCGTAGATAAAATCACTCGCTATGACGTTGCAAGTGACATCAATATGCCGTTAATTCATGGTGAAAGACAGACTATTTTTTCTTTTCTATTTTTTAGCTCACCTGCCTGCCGAGGGCAAGTGAGCTTATGCCATGGCACAGCGTCCGTTCATCAACTTTTCCTTTAAAACGCTACTAGTCCTGAACAGCGTCATGGATTTTAACTAAATTTGGTCTGGAGCATCCTTGAGCCAAGGGCTCTCAATTTTGTATAAACGGTGGGTGTGGACCCCTGGGGGCAGAGGAGCAGGGCCCAATAGGGAAATAGAGGTAAAACCTTTAGAATCCTTATCTTCTACCACAGGAATTAAGGGATTTTATTCTTATTTAGTCTGGATCATCCTTGGGCCAAGGGCTCTCAATTTTGTATAAACGGTGGGTGTGGACCCTTGGGGGCAGAGAAGCACAATTTTGTATAAACGATTGGTGTGGACCCCTTCGAGCAGAGAAGCATTGCCCATTAGGGGAAATGGAGGTAAACCTTTAAAATCCTTCTTTTACCATAGGGATTAAAAGATTTCATCCCTATTAGGTTAGGAGCATCCTTATTCCAAGGGTATACAATTTTGATCAACATTGGATGTGGTCCCCCTGGGAGCAGAGGAGCGGGGCCCAATAGGGGAAATAAAGGTAATCCTCCTTCTTCTGTAGGGATAAAGGGATTTTATCCCATTTCAGTCTGGAGCATCATTGGGCCAAGGAAACGGTACCGGTAGGTGTGGCTCCCCTGGGGGCAGAGGGGTGGGTTTGAATAGAGGTAAACCTGTAAAATTCTTCTTCTACCATAGGGATTAAGGGATTTCATCCCAATTTTGTCTTCATTAATTTGTCTTGTAGTGCCTGTTACTCTTAGGGTGTATTCATTAAAACAAGATGGCCACCAGGCTGCCATTTTGAATTTTGACATTTGAAGGATGTTCTCGCTATATCTTAGGAAATACTGGATGGATCTTTCTGAAATTTCATATGTACATACAGTACCTACCAGGGAGTGCTATATTTTAACCTCATATCAAGTGCTTAAAACATCCAGGTGAGCGATACAGGCCCTCTGGGCCTCTTGTTTCTCCTATATAATTATAGCAAAATATATTATTTCACATACTGTAGTTGTGTAAATATGAGCTTCCAATCCATCTGACTTTCAAGAAACTAGCTCAAGCTTATTTTCCTGAGAAAAAATCCCCTTTGTAATGGAATCATATATTAACATTGATCATTGTAGAAGCTATACAAGGCATATGAAATTTATTGAATTAAATGCTCTAATAGTCTAGAAGTACCTGTTTCTGTAGTTTACCGGTGATCAGCAAAGTTTGAAGTGTTAAATTATTTGCAATACTAACAGAAAAAAATGTTCCTGAATCGCAAGTGTTTCTAGGAGTGGTCAGACGCTGATAAAACAGAAAGTGGTTCACAATAGATATTTTACTTACATGTACTTATCATTCTTTGTTAACCTATCATGAATGAATCAAGGTATTATTTCCTTGGACCAAGCTGTGTTCATATACTATTACAATTCAGTGTTGTGGAACTTTTTGTGCAATATGTGATACAACTTACATGTAGATACATGTACGAGAAAATTGTTTTACGTTTTATTCATTTAAAACATGTCGCTTTTTCAGCAATTTACTGTTTTAAATATTTATTTTGAAACAAATTTTGTTTTAGTATACATTTCATTGTTCGCAATATCATGTATATTGAATTCAAATTGTCAAATAAATAAGCTACACTTATGTATTATAAATTCGGATTCTGGTTTGTGTGTGTTGGAATATATTACCATATATATTTATCCTGCAATAAGCCCAGGGGGCAACACATTATTACATATCTTGAAGGGATTGGCTTATTTCAGACAATGAAATAACATTTGTTGGCCTTTTTACTAGACTGCAATAGATTTGGTTGGGCTAATTTCTAGGTATGACTTATTGCAGGATAAATACAGGACGTACAAAATGTAATATACAAACACCATTAAGTATGGAAGATTATGTGTTATAGTCCGGTACTACAAGTAACAAGTTTAATAGGAAAGTACATGTATCTTCTTTGGCAAGTTTCCAGTGCTCAAATAATAACTTTTTAAAAGTTTTCTAGAAGTCTAGGTAAAGAGTTAAATTTATTTATGTTTTCAAATATTCTAATTTTGAACAACTATAATGCTGTAAATGCATCACCAACACTTTTGTTCTAAAACTACTTGCATAATCTGTATAACAGTAGTGACAGTGGTGATGATATATGTTAACTTGATAGTGCCCCTTGTATTTATAATGGTTTGAGTAGGGGTGACTTTATCACAACATCACAGCTAAATTGTCAAAATTGTCCTGATGATGCCTCTGTGATAGAGGCGAAACTTAAGACCAAATAAAACCCTTCAAAAACCCTCTTATTGGTAACGCTTGAGTATGTTGTGATTAAGACGCCCCCCTTACTTAATTTAATTCCTCTTTAATCGCCTGGCATACCTCTTTGTATCGGTACTCACAGCGAAGTACCGACTGATCAAGTTGAATACCTTTACCTGACGTGGCTCTACACTTTTGAAGTTTAATAATGGTTTGAGTTACATACTTACTATAAACTAGAAATATGTCAGATAAATCACTGACCAAGCTACAACTGATATATTTCCACCTGTCAATCAAAATGGTAAACAATGACCAGGTGTAAATACATACACGCTGTTCAGGTAGCCATGCCAACAAATGGAATTAAGAAGAAAGCATGTGGCAAATATAACGTTGGCGCAGACCAAAACCTCGAATATGGGGATATCTGCGCGCTGACATGGTCACCTGGCATGGACAGAACAGTGAGAACAGATAATTGGAATACAATGTATAACGATGTTGTTTTCACAACAATAAGTTTCAGAAAAATATCAATCTTATATACGGATAAATATTTTCCTTTTTTTTGGGGTTATAAAATACACTTTTCCAAGTAGTTTTCTGATCGTCTGCAAATCCGACTGAATCGGACATCTATATCGGCAGTGTGCATAAAGGCACTCAAACAGGTTCGACGAGGACCGGTACTGCCAACAGCTGAATTCGCGAGACATCCAGAATCCCAAACAATTGTGATTTCAGCAATTCTCCTTTGAAGGAAAAGATCGGAATGTATTTGGCTGTTTTGAGCCTGTTAATATTTATTTTTCAAACTCAAACTTTTATCGTTATCGGTTCAATTTGCATGGATTGTCACCTTGTTAATTCTGACCTTGACTCTTTGCAGTACACAAACTTGCTAACTTCTCCACTAACTTTACCCAAGTCGCTTTGACACATTCCTACTGTCAAGATTAAATAGTTCAGCATGATTTTACCCAAGAACGACATTTTAACCCCAGAGTGCTAAATATGATGCAATTCTTCGTTATGTTTCCCCATACGTGGTATTTATCAATTCACAGCGTAACGTCCTGAAAAGTTGGGCCTACTTTTCTTGAGTTTATTTATCCCCCAGGGGTGACTAAAAACAAACATCGGGGTGAAAGTTATTTTTATACAAAAGAGTGAAAGTTATTTCTATTTTCAAACATAACTGTACTCAAGAGTGACAGTCAAGACATCACATCATCAGGCAAATTACAAACAGTAGAACAAATGATGAAAACAAAATGAGAATGATGATTCAAAATTTAAGGGTATATCAATATTTCAATATTATCTTGCACTTACTATCCAAAATACAACAATGAATTTTGTTACCAGGAAATCCAACCATAAGTATACATTTTATGAAACCCACATTATCTAGAACAAAGCGATTCAAACCCACATTATCTAGAACAAAGCGATTCAAACCCACATTATCTAGAACCAAGCGATTCAAACCCACATTATCTAGAACAAAGCGATTCAAACCCGCATTATCTAGAACAAAGCGATTCAAACACTGTTGGTTGCAATGTTGCAGTGATAAAAACGGTACCAGATTCAAGTGTTTCCTTACTGGTACAGTATATATACACATGTATTAGATCTCTAGCTACAGTATTTACTGGTACATGTACATCAAAAATCTCAGACTATTTCCATGTTTAGCAAAGATTCACTCCAGTATAAACTAGTACATTTAAGAACTCCAACCCTAGCTAGTGTTTAACAGTACCAGATACATAAAAGATATCAGACTGAAATATTTACTGATGTACATGGTGAATTTAATAATCAAAGTTGATATTTCTAAAATACCTGCTTCTGAACACCCTTTGACTTGGGTACAACTCTCTATACTGTACAAAGTCTATATCACATGTTTGGAATCAACACTTTCACAAACATCAGAATCCAAAATACACATTTTGGGATACCAGTATGATGAAGTTTCTTTCGATCCATGACCGGATTTGATTGTAATGACTTTGAATGGATGGTGATTATGATCTGATGAAAATACTGTTAGCTCAGTAACTGGCTATGATCATGATATCCGACACAACAGATATACAATACACAATTTTACAGATCAATTCATGCTGTCCACAATGTCGCACATCATACGATCCAGCTGGTCACATGGCTCTACCTCCATATTGTAATCACCCAGAGAGTGACCAGCCTGAAGAAGTTCCGTCTTGACCAGAGACTTGGAGTCAAAACTGTAATCGTCAGACAGGTGAGTAATGCTAGTCTGTATCAGCTCCTTCACTTTGTCTAAATGCTTTTTGAAACGTTCTCCGATCTCTTGGCGCTGATTTTTCTGGTGTTCCATCATTACGCGTAGGGTCTCTCTAGCTTGATGGGGACGATACTCGTTGATGAGATGATGCATGTGAATGAACAAGAGATTTAAATCCTCCAACTTTTCTGTCCTTTTTGGAGAGTTTGGAGCCTTTATCAATATGTCTATGAGATCCAGAAAGTTCACCACAATGGAATGGTTAAGCTTTTTCAGCTCTCGTTTATGGTCGTAGTTCTGTGGATGAAGTCGTCGGAATCCTAGTGACTCTAGTGGTCTGATGATAGCGTCCTCCGATGTGTACTGGGCACCAAACATAGTGTAGGAATCCTGTGAACAAAACAAAAACAGGCTTTAATAGACAAAGCAGCTATATATATGTAATTAAAAAATGATCAAACTCTATACCTGGGTCCATTCATATTACAAAATAGTTAAACCTAATTGAAACTTGAGGAAGGAATGGGTTTTCTCATCTGAAATAGAAGATGGTATATACTATATACACAGATTAACTTGAGTATTTTCTTGATGATAGACCTATATCAATCAATTTCAACAAGCTTTATGTCTGGAAATTTAAGAACTTTCCCATTGGGTTGAAAACATGAAATTACCCTCATCAGCCCCAAAGGAAAGGACATTCTTTTGTTACCATCAAACACATGTACAGCTGGAGATAAGTAAGGACATCTTCACCTCACCTATAAAACTGAGTCGGTGGGTAGGAACATTTACACACATTTCTCTTTATGCCAGGTGGGTTTGGCCACTTTTTCTCAACTGTAAAGCTGTATAATATATATGTGGGTCAGGTTGTTTTTTCAAATGCAGAACTGGATATATGGGTACATGTAGGTACATGTCTTACCTGTAGAGCTGGAGGTGGTGGTGGTGCCAGGCCTCGTCGCACATTTTCATCAGTGTACTGTTTGTAGTAGTTGGGAGGATTGGGGAAGGCACTAGTGCTAGCGCCTTGGTTACCAGTATCTCCCATGTTGACAGCTTGCCTTAGTAACTGTATCACAAGAAATAGAACATTACACATGTATCAATTTATGAAAATAAATGCTTTTTGAAGGTAAGAGTAGTATATAAATATTACTGTTTTCATGAATATTCAAATTGACAAACTCAAGTCAGAGAGGATTTGTTTGTGCTTTAGAGTTCATCGACAGCTATGATCACTGAAAACCAAGCCAAATTTTGGTGGTGGAGGAAATCCGGAGTACCCTAAGAAAAACCATTTACCTTCAGACACTTTGACCACATGGCCACCCCGGCAACTAGTTCATACAGGGCTTTTGTACAACAATCGATATTATAAACTGTTCCATTTGGTGCCTTGATAGTTTTGATTTGAAGGAAGGACCTCCAACTCTACAGAAATGCTTTTAAGTTTCTAGTTAATTTTGATGATATTATGGAACGGCGTTGGAGATGGATGGGCCATGTACTAAGAATGGATACCAACAGTATATGTTCAGTGGCACTGACATGGTAACCAGAGGGAAAAGGAAGGTTGGATGACCCAAAACCACCTTGAGACAGACTGTCGAGACAAAAAGAACGGCACTTGGATGGAACAGCAAGGACAACAGCTAAAGACCATATAAAATGGAATGAATGTATCTGGGCCTTAAATGCCGATCAACATGAATCATCGGCGAATAGCTCAATTGGTAGAGCGTCCGTCTAAGAATTCAGAGGGTCCCAGGTTCGAACCCGGGTCTAGCTGTTGCATTTCTCTTTCTCCTGCTACAAAATTGGCCAGCTTGCCAACCCTTGTTTAAAGCATTTGGTATATGCTTGGCAAGGGGATACCTGAACCTGGGTTGTAAATAATTGCGTCTCCGTCGGCAAATACTTTGAAAAAGGAGGGAGAAATGTACAGTAGCTGAACTGGACTGGGTCAATCGTCGGCGACCAGGTAGCTCAATTCACAAGTACTAGCCACGACTGTCAATACACCTTTAATAGTACCTGTGCTCAATTGATAGGTCTACAGTAGAGTTTGGAGGCTCCTGTGTTCGAACTAGAGTCTGGCCGTTGCATTTCTCATTCTCTTGTTACACATGTATCTAGTTGGTTGCTATACTATGCAGCCTCTTGTGGTAAGAACAGAATCTGACTGCACATGAGAACGGTTTCATTATAATAACGGTGTGATGCTCAGGCAACTCAGGAGGACGTAGTGGTGAAGGGGCCAAAGGCAAGGAGCCACCACCGAGTACAAAAAATGTCTCTTCGTCAGAAGCTACGTTGTCGCAGCTAACCGAGTACCAGAGGGACACTGATACCTAAGTCGGGTCGTAAACCGGGGGAACATAGATGATCAGGTTGGGGAAACCGTAACTTGCATATCATACGCAAACTCGCCTATTATACACCAGTTGGAGTATGGATTTGTTTATACTTAAAATAACCCAAATTGCTTTAACAGTAACTTTTGCAAGACGTTATTAAAAATCGCATTAATTTACGACAAGGTAAATAATATTTTGCTAAAAAATGTTTACTGAAAGCGTTGGCTACCGGAAGTACAGTTGTTACGGCAGTAAGCGGATCATCGGCTATAGCGGATCAGTCAATAAACAAAAGCTGATTACACAAAATGTATTGATCCTAGAAAGAAATTAATTGTGTGCACATGGTAACAAGTTGTTTCTTATAATGTACAAACAAACAAAATAACTTCATATACGTATCATGTCCAGAAATCCCGAATTTTATATTTTCTCAATCTGCTCCTCTAGAGATGACCGCCATCTTGGAAAACGGACGGTTCGATGAAGAAATGAATTCTATTAAAATACACACTTACAACCAAATAAATATGCATTTAAATGATGAATTATATTGTTTTTCAGAATCATGTATTGTTTGGTAATCTTGGATAATGCTTACATGCGTTATTGTGTCGTATCCGATGTGTGATTATTCGGCTATAACGGATCAGTGTTCATCTGCGCACGCATATGCATTCGCATAGCATCGTTCCACGTGCATTCACGATTTCAAATTTCTACATATGTTTTGAGAGTTGGCACATGTAACGGAGTTATATTTAAAGTGTATTCGTTGCAAAGGCTTCAATTAATAATAAGATGCGATCAGTTACCTCTGAAAAGTGTGTTTTGAGACGTCCCATCTAACTTGAATCGTGAGTGAGAGGCCCGCCAAAGGGCGTGATCCGTTATAGCCGTACTGATCCGCTATAGCCGACAAATCGGTAGGTCTTGTTTTCCTTATTTCCTTGTGTATATTTGATTTTATGAAGATCTTTTGGTATCACTGGAGAGGTAATAAAATGTTCTTTTTGAAAATATATGATGTCTTTAAAAAATAGTTTTGCAAAATCGTGTGTAGCAATTATATGCAAAGTGATCCGCTACTGCCGTAACAACTGTATTGCATCTATTTTTGGTACTTTCCGACATGTAAATAAAGTTTATTCTTGCATTTGTATTATGTTTCATGACTGAATAAAAGCGACATGGACAAAAAAATTGAAAAAGTTATGATTCAAATGATTTTGGCTATTTTTAGTAACAAATCCATACACCTATTGGCGTGTAATAGGCGAGCTTGCGTATTATACGCAAGTTAGTGGTTTTCCCCGACCTGATGATACCTCACTCTACTGGATCGCTACCGAAGTGTTACTATGTGCCACATGACCGCGTTCCCAAACATCAAGATGACTACTTTGGTATTTGTCATAAACATAAACATTCAGGTCAACCTTTTTTTCCTCATTTTAAACAGAGATCACACATAAACATTAAAACAAACCTTTGTTTCAAAACATCATGTCCCGACTTTTTTTCCGCCGGAAGTAGAACTTTGGTTACTTGCATATTGCAAAATGATGAATGGTTAAATGGGCGGGCCGAAATGGGCGGTTCAAAAATAGGTTTTATTCAATCATTTATATAATTTAATGAAGATAAACTAAAATATTATTGTACAAATATACAGTTTGTGCAACATCGGAATATTGGATTGCACAATTGCTTTAAATGCATTTCTTGATTTAAAAAAAATCATTTGTTCTTCGTAATCTGAAAATTAAGAATATTTCTGTTTCGGTGACATGGGGAAACAACTCTGTATTTATCTGATTGCAAGTAGGAAGTTACTTCGTGATCATGATGGTAAGGTTTTGTGTATTGATTCTTTCATATTTCTTTGATCGCTGTTGCCTATTTTATGTACACTTCATCATGATTTTAAACCATTTGTTGTGAGTACTTTTACTTAAGTAGTGACGTTGCAATCTAATATGTATCTCCAAATAATAACTTTATAATAGCGTTTTAACTTCCTGGTAAGTCATCGATCAGTGTACATGTTTGAATGGATTATGTGGTTGAAGAGTGAAATATCACTCAGTATTATACGTCTCTGGTGATTTGCAAAACAGGAATGCCTGATTGCGTCAAAGAAGATTTTTTTATTGAATTTATATCGATGCAAATATATTGGATACTAGGATTGTGGATAATGATAAAAACTCAAGATTGTATCAATTCTTGTTATTTTCTATTGTAACAAAGTATACACGTTTATGTGATATCCGAAACGATAGCTTATAATAAGATCTGTTCTTATGAGATGAAGATTAGATAATACTCTCGGTGACAGGTAACATATCTCTTAATTTTAAAAATCTCATATATCTATAACAAATCGTGATTACTATATTCTATTTTATTTTCAATTATTTATCTATCTTTTGGAATACTGCACCCCTTAATGTAATTTTCTTATCAACTGTACCTGGTCTTATGATTGTTCTTCTTCACCTTTATAAAGATAAGATTTTCCAGTAACTTTTAAGATTTACTGGATTTATGAGGTAACCCTAAATATTGTCTACATAAGGTTGATGAGGTAACCCTAGATAGCATCTCTGTAGGGTTAACAAGGTAACCTTAAATATTATCTACATAATATAAGGTTGAGGTAACACTAGACATCATCTCTGTAGGGTTAACAAGGTAACATTAAATATTGTCTACATAAGGTTGATGAGGTAACCCTAGAAAGCATCTCTGTTGGGTTAACAAGGTAACCCTAAATATTGTCTACATAAGGTTGATGAGGTAACACTAGATATCATCTCTGTAGGGTTAACAAGGTAATCCTAAATATTGTTTACATAAGATTGATGAGGTAACCCTAGATAGCATCTTTGTTGGGTTAACAAGGTAACCTTAAATATTATCTACATAAGGTTGATGAGGTTACACTAGGCATCAACTTTGTTGGGTTAACAAGGTAACCTTAAATATTGTCTACATAAGGTTGATGAGGTAACACTAGATATCATCTTTGTTGGGTTAACAAATTAACCTTAAATGTTATCTACTTAAGGTTGATGATGTAACACTAGACATCATCTTTATTGGGTTAACAAGGTAACCCTAAATATTGTCTACATAAGGTTGATGAGGTAACACTAGACATCATCTCTGTAATGATTAACAAGCTAACCCTAAATATTGTCTACATAAGGTTGATGCGGTAACACTAGATATATTTTAAACAACTTCTTCTCAGTAACCAAAAGGCCTAGGGTGATGATATTTGGCCAGAAGCATGCTGGGATGAAGGGCTACCAAGTTTGTTCAAATAAATGACCTTCATCCGTTTTCAAGGTCACAGGTGTCAAATATGTTAAATTCTTTGAACAACTACTTCTGAATAACTAAGAGGCATAGGTTGATGATATTTAGCCAGTAATATGCTGGGATGAAGGGCTACCAATTTTGTTCAAATAAATGACCTTGATTTATATTCAAGGTCACATGGGTCAAATATGTTTAAAAACCTTTCAACAACTTCTTCTGAATAACCAAGAGGCCTAAGGGTAATGATATTTGGCCTGTAACATGCTGGGATAAAGGGCTACCAAGTTTGTTCAAATACATGACCTTGACCTATTTCTAGGTCACAGGGGTCAAATATGTTAAAAACCTTTAAACAACTTCTTCTGAAATAACCAAGAGACCTAGGGTGCCTAAATTTGGCCAGTAACATGCTGGGATAAAGGGCTACCAAGTTTGTTCATATAAATGACCTTGGTTTATATTCAAGGTCACATGGGTCAAATATGTTTAAAACATTCAAACAACTTCTGCTGAATCACCAAGAGGCCTAAGGTGATGATATTTGGCCGGTAGCATGCTGGGATAAAGGGCTACCAAGTTTGTTCAAATAAATGACCTTCATCCATTTTCAAGATCACAGGGGTCAAATATGTTTAAAACCTTTAAACAACTTCTTCTTAATAACCAAAAGGCCCAGGGTACTGATATTTGGCCTGTAGCAATCAGGGCTACCAAATTTGTTCAAATGAATGACCTTGACCCACTTTCAACCTAATGTCATTGTTTGACATTCAAGGTCACACTGATATTCTGCCTGTAGCTGTATTTTAGTTCACTTTTAAGATTACAAGTGTGAGATTAATACCAGGTGAGCGATGCAGTCCCATTGGGCCTCTTGTCTACATAAGGTTGATGAGGTAACACTAGATATCATCTCTGTAGGGTTAACAAGGTAACCTTAAATATTATTTACATAAGGTTGATGAGGTAACACTAGATATCATCTTTGTTGGGTTAACAAGATAACCCTTATTAATGTCTACATACAGTTGTAAGGTGGATGAGGTAACCCTGGATCTGTAGGATTAACAAGGTAACCCTAAATATTGTCTACATAAGGTTGATGAGGTAACACTAGATATCATCTTTGTTGGGTTAACAAGTTAACCTTAAATGTTATCTACTTAAGGTTGATGAGGTAACACTAGATATCATCTTTGTTGGGTTAACAAGGTAACCCTAAATATTGTCTACATAAGGTTGATGAGGTAACCCTAGATATCATCTTTGTTGGGTTAACAAGTTAACCTTAAATATTATCTACTTAAGGTTGATGAGGTAACACTAGCTATCATCTTTGTTGGGTTAACAAGGTAACCCTAAATATTGTCTACATAAGGTTGATGAGGTAACCCTAGACATCATCTTTGTTGGGTTAACAAGGTAAGCTTTAATATTGATTACATAAGGTTGATGAGGTAACAGTAGATAGCATCTTTGTTGGGTTAACAAGGTAAACTTAAATATTATCTACATAAGGTTGATGAGGTTACACTAGACATCATCTTTGTTGGGTTAACAAGGTAAGCTTTAATATTGATTACATAAGGTTGATGAGGTAACACTAGATAGCATCTTTGTTGGGTTAACAAGGTAACCTTAAATATTATTTACATAAGGTTGATGAGGTAACACTAGACATCATCTCTGTAGGGTTAACAAGGTAAGCTTTAATATTGATTACATAAGATTGATGAGGTAACACTAGATATCATCTCTGTAGGGTTAACAAGGTAACCTTAAATATTATTTACATAAGGTTGATGAGGTAACACTAGATATCATCTTTGTTGGGTTAACAAGGTGACCCTAAATATTGTTGTCTACATATGGTTGATGAGGTAACCCTAAAAAGCATCTCTGTTGGGTTAACAAGGTAATCCTAAATATTGTCTACATAAGGTTGATGAGGTAGCCCAAGATAGCATCTCTGTAGGGTTAACAAGGTAACCTTAGATATTATCTACATAAGGTTGATGAGGTAACACTAGACATCATCTTTGTTGGGTTAACAAGGTAACCTTAAATATTGTCTACATAAGGTTAATGAGGTAACATTAGATATCATCTTTGTTGGGTTAACAAGGTAACCTTAAATATTGTCTACATTAAATTATATTGATACAGTGCACATGAATGTGTGTATACATGTACATGCAGCTATCACAACACACTCAAAGATATTAGAACAATGTACATCCTGTACACTCCAGACTTTTAGTGTAGATGTGAAGTATCCTGTGGGACCCTCCAGGTTGTTTGGATAAGGAAGCGAAGTGTGGGTTCTCTGCATATGGTCAGGTGCTGATACAGTTGTAAGTATTCAATACCTGACCTTAGTGACCTACATGTGTTAGTTACCTACTGATCATCCATAGATAGATCACATTTCAGCATTATATTAGGCCAAATAAACGATAGACGTATATTTTCTGTTGAATTATTAGGGACCTGCATATGGTTATCATGGGTGTCTGTCTGTTTGTCCTGTGCAGCCTCACCTAAATTTTTAAAATTATATCTCAAATTCCGTTTTACAAAATGTTTGACATAAACATAAGTTGAGTTTGATATTACCTATTTTTGAATGAATGTTTAGGGTTGTGGTTCACTCATGATTATGTCAGAAGACAAGGAAGTTGACCAAACATTTTACAAAAGTCATCTGAATATTGACACACATTACTTGGTCCAAAGTCATGTCAAGGAATATGGTTATTTTTTAAATGTAATCTTAAAAGTTTTGGGTATTAATGGCTCTGTACTCGAGCTCACTAGAGATGGGCTGATGATCAATTATAATAAAAAATCAGTCGGATTGACCTTTCCAATTCCGATTATTGATTACACATTCCATAATTGATATAATCAGTTCATCATTGAAATCAAAGTACATGTATACAAATTTAAATGTCTTCCATGTAAAGTATGCTTTGAAAATCATACATACTTATGATTTATACTATATGACTGATAAAATGAATAAAAATTGCTTTATATCTGTTCATTATAAAAGAACGAAACCCTATGTTTAGTAAAAAAAAATGTTTATTGATGTAATAGTATTGTTCTCACCTTTTTGGGTATTCAGTGCCAAAAATTATAAACCGATTATGCAGTCGATCACCGTTCGGTTTACTACATCAGATTACCAACCGATTATCAATTATGATTTTAAACTGACTGCCCATCACTATAGTACTCGCAATGAAATCACACCTGACTCCCATGCTGCCTTTGGTGTTCGGAATCCACTGCAGTGTGGCCTGGAAAGATCCTGATCGTGAGCATTCATGACTTAATTCATAGAATGGCCTCATAAAACTTTTATAAAAGTACTCAATTAACACAAAGTGACATATGTATGACTGATCAAACCATTTTTAATAAACATCCTGATACAAGGTTTTAGCTGTGAATGCATACATATGTTTTTATCAGCTTCAAATTCAGTGCTGATACAAATAATGAAACAGATTCTTTTACAAGAGGATAGTAGTATCAAGTTTTTGTTGTCATCATAATTAACATTTAATATAATCAGAGATTTCCTGATTTTGTTGTCACTTAGACTTTGACAAGTGTGAAGCAAATTTTATAACTTAGGGTAATTTCATTTTGTAAATTGAATGATGAACCCGTTAATCAGTTGGAAGACATTTTAATTACTGGCTAGTCATATTCTGATGAGTATTAAGTTCTTGCCCTTAGATAATTAAAAAGTGTACACTTGTATTTTTCAGAACATGGAAACTTCACAGAAAAAGTAAGATGGAAGACCGATACTCTGTCATGATTTCTGACCACTGCAGTGCATGGTACTGCAAAGTCATCAGACTTGAGTAGCTTCCCTTCACAGAAACAGACTGGAGCAGTCTCCCTTAAAAAATCAAATTAAAGTTGAACTCTGGAAGACTCTGTTATGAAAATTTATTAGATTTTATTTTGCTGTGTCAATTTGAAGAAATTGTAAAGATGGCGAAGGCTGGTTATAAGAAGGACTTCATGATGAAAAGGTCTCAAAATAAGAGCACCTTCATGACAAAGGAGAACTACAAGGCTCGGTGGTTTGTCCTGGACAACGAATTTATAAAGTACCACGAAGGATCATTAGAGGTAAGTATAAAAATCAGTGGTTTGTCCTGGACACTGAGTGAATAAGTATGTAATGTAACACGACTCACATGACTAGGTAACACTAAAAGGTAAGTATATATATGGCTCAGTGGTTTGTGCTGGACAAGGAGTATTTAAAGTACCACAAGGTAACACTACAGGTAGGTATAAGGCTCAGTGTTTGTGCTGGACAAGGAGTATATAAAGTACCACAAGGTAACACTAGAGGTAGGTATAAGGCTCGATGGTTTGTGCTGGACAAGGAGTATATAATGTACCACGAGGTAACACTACAGGTAGGTATAAGGCTTGGTTGTTTGTGCTGGACAATGAGTATATAAAGTACCACGAGGTAACACTAGAGGTAGGTATAAGGCTCGGCGGTTTGTGCTGGACAAGGAGTATATAAAGTACCACGAGGTAACACTAGAGGTAGGTATAAGGCTCGGCGGTTTGTGCTGGACAAGGAGTATATAAAGTACCACGAGGTAACACTAGAGGTAGGTATAAGGCTTGGTGTTTTTTCCTGGACAATGAGTATATAATGTAACACTAGAGGTAGGTATAAGGCTCGGTGGTTTGTGCTGGACAAGGAGTATATAAGTAACACGATGTAACATTAGAGGTAGGTATAGGGCTTGGTTGTTTGTGCTGGACAATGAATATATAAAGTACCACGAGGTAACACTAGAGGTATTACTACAGGTAGGTATAAGGCTTGGTGGTTTGTGCTGGACAATGGGTATATAAAGTACTACAAGGTAACACTACAGGTAGGTATAAGGCTTGGTGGTTTGTCCTGGACAATGAATTTTGCCTGTTCCGAATGATTGTCAGCAATAGGAACTGCACATGGAAAACCTGTTTTAGACCAGTGATTCCAGTTACAGAGGTCATTGAATAATACTAAAGCGCCTATAAAGACTCTATGGAGGCAACAGTTTGTAATTACTGCAGGGACATTTTGATATACAATGTATCAATAATCACATATATTTAAAAATTACCTTATATATACAAATGTATTATAAGCTATGTGCTGTCTATGGATATCTGATACATCTGTGCTTGTGACCAAGCTTGTGTTATACCAGTTTCTTAGTGGGTTTTTATTTTCAAAAATGCTACACAGTATATATATACAATATGATAGAATTTTTTTTATTTTTGTTTTTACAGAAAATGGGGAAAGTTAAAGGTTCCATTGACCTCAAGTCAATCAAGGCTGTGGAGAATGTTGAAAATAAGGTCTTAGACAACAAAGACCATGTTTTCCAGGTAAGGCAATGATTGTGGGCACATGGGAAGAGGTAGGAAGGGGTTGGCCAGACAGGAAGGAGTGTCGGAGTAGGAGAGGCAGGAAGGACTAGGTTTAGGTGAAGAGGAGCAAGCCAGACAGGAAGGTGTGACAGAATAGGAGAGGCAGGATAGGGTGGGTTGATGTTAAGTTGGGTCTGCCAGACAGGAAAGTGTGACCGAGTAGGACATGTAGGAAGGGTTGTGTTGTAATGAAGAGGGGCCAGCCAGACAGGAAGGTGTGACAGGGTAGGAAATGTAGGAAGGGTTGGGTTGAGGTGAAGATGGATAAGGCCAGACAGGAAAGTGTGACAGAGTTGGAAATGTAGGATTAGGGGTGGGTTGAGATGGAGTGGGATGGGATGGGGCCAGAGAAAAAGGTGTGACAGAATAGGAAAGGCAGGATAGGGTGGGTTGATGTTAAGGTGGGTCTGCCAGACAGGAAAGTGTGACAGAGTATAGGACATGTAGGAAGGGTTGGGTTGTAATGCAGAGGGGCCAGCCAGGCAGGTAGGTGTGACAGTAGGAAATGTAGGATTAGGGTTGGTTGAGGTGAAGTGGGGTCGGTCAGACAGGTAGGTGTGACAGAGTAGGAAATGTAGGATTAGGGGTGGGTTGAGGTGAAGTGAGGTCGATCAGAGAAAAAGGTGTGACAGAATAGGAAAGGCAGGATAGAGTGGGTTGATGTTAAGGTGGGTCTGCCAGACAGGAAAGTGTGACAGAGTAGGACATGTAGAAAGGGTTGGGTTGTAATGAAGAGGGGCCAGCCAGACAGGTAGGTGTGACAGAGTAGGAAATGTAGTTTTAGGGTTGGTTGAGGTGAAGTGGGGTCGGCCAGACAGGTAGGTGTGACGGAGTAGGAAATGTAGGAAGGGTTAGGTTGAGGTGAAGTGGGATGAGTTCAGAGAAAAAGGTGTGACAGAATAGGAAAGGTAGGATAGGGTAGGTTGAGGTGAAGTGGGGTCGGCCAGACAGGTAGGTGTGACAGAGTAGGAAATGTATGAACTTAGTTTGATTGATCAGATATAAACTGGTCTGTGCGGGAATTTCATTGTGAAGAAAGCCTATTATATCTGTATGGCCTTAATTTAATGAGTATGTGCCTGTACACAGTTGATTAGACACATTCACGTGAAACTTTACTATACACAGATTCAGTATTCTGAAGGAATTGAGTTCTACACCCTCTATGTTGTGGCCATGTCAGAGGATAAGAGGAAGGATTGGGTGGAGGATATACGAGAGGGTAAGTAACGGACAGAAAATGATTTTCTAGTATTTGTAAGATTTATATGTTCTAGAATTTGTAAGATTTATATCTATGTTCTAGTATTTGTAAGATTTATATCTATGTTCTAGTATTTGTAGGATTTATATCTTTGTTCTAGTATTTGTAAGATTTATATCTATGTTCTATCATTTGTAGGATTTATATCTATGTTCTAGTATTTGTAGGATTTATATCTATGTTCTAGTATTTGTAGGATTTATATCTATGTTCTAGTATTTGTAAGATTTAAATGTTTTGTTCATACAGCTGCCATGAAAAAGGCCGCAGATTTCTTCCCCAAGTACCACAATGGTGTGTGGACCAAGAGTAAGGGCAAGTATAGCTGCTGCGACCAGGTCGACAGGAACGCTCCGGGCTGTATGATCACGACATCCGAGAAACGTAAATAACTTATTTATCGATAAATTAACAAGGTGATTCGTTGAATAAATATAGTTCACAAATAAATATTATATGTATTTGCAAGGACTTATTAGATATCTCCTTTCATACTAACCTAATCTTGGGAAAATCATGTCTCTGAAACCAAAATCTTGCAATTATAGTTATTCAAATCTTGAAAAGGATGCACAAAGTTCTTTCAAGGTTAAGTACTGGCATGCTATTTCATCAATACCAAACAATTAAGATGTATACAATCACAAACCAGACTTCAACGTACATGTGTTCTTTAATTCGTCAAGACTGGAATAAAATGTGAACGGCAAACAGGATAGCTGTGATTTCCAAACACATTTTTTATTTTTGTTTATAGCTTATTAGAATAAATAGGATTGTTTCACTGTGAGATACCAATGTTTGATGCTTTTTAACAGAGGTGACTAGAAACCACAAGCCAAACATACCTCTCCCAGCTGTACCAGGGTCAGCATCTCCACCCAGTCCAGAGGGCAAAGAGAAAAAAATATTTGTAGCTATTTTTAACTTCCATCCAGCAGAGGATGGTGACTTGGAGTTGGTAGTGGTGAGTTATAATGGTTATTTAACCCTTTCACCACTGTAGGCCATAATGGACTCATCCAGATCAATGCATGGTAGAGTTTGGTAAAGTTACGTAGGCTTGAAAGGGTTAATATTGGTCTATATACCTGTACCTGTAATTTCAAGTATTTTCTCTTAAAAAAAACCTGTCTGTTCAGACTAGTATATCTTTCAACACTATCATCAAATAGTTTGTCAAGTCTAAACTATTACTCCTGAGGTAGAGTTCTCAGTGAACTTTTATTAATTGTAAATGTTTTACGAATAACAAGCTTCCTGTGTAATGAAAATTAAAAACTATATAGATATATAGTACAAAAAATAAGCATATCAAAATTACAAAAGTCGACCACTTGTTTATTGCTAAAATTAAAAACTATCTTAGAATCAAACTGTCGCCATGGCTACCACCTGTCTATAACTACAGTCAAATCTGTTTTCAATCAAACTATCACCATGGCTACCACCTGTCTATAACTACAGTTAAATCTGTCTTATAGTCAAACTGTCACCATGGCTACCGTCTGTCTATAACTACAGTCAAATCTGTTTTAGAATCAAACTGTCACCATGGCTACCACCTGTCTATAACTACAGTCAAATCTGTTTTAGAATCAAACTGTCACCATGGCTACCACCTGTCTATAACTACAGTCAAAGATGTTTTAGAATCAAACTGTCACCATGGTTACCACCTGTTAACACCTTATGTACAGTTGTATGTTTGTTTTCAGGGTGAAGAGTATGAGGTGATAGATGATTCAAAAGAACACTGGTGGCTCTCACGCGACAAGAGAGGGTAAGTTTGTGGAGGGTCATGTTATAAACAATATCATTCCTTTAGGGTTTTACAACAAGCGATGGTTAGCTCCCAGCTAATGCTCACTTATCTTACAAGGTTAAGCAACCTAAGGTTTACAAACCGACCAGGGTCAGATAACAAGCTAGGGTTAGTTTCCTCAGGGTCACATAACAAACTAGGGTTACCAGAGTAATCCCCTAAGGATCACATGATAAACCAGGGTTAGTTCCCTCAGGGTCACATAACAAAGTAGGGTTACCAGGGTAATCCCCTAAGGATCACATGATAAACCAGGGTTAGTTCCATCAGGGTCACATAACAAACTAGGGTTACCAGAGTAATCCCCTAAGGATCACATGATAAATCAGGGTTAGTTCCCTCAGGGTCACATAACAAGCTAGGGTTACCAGAGTAATCCCCTAAGGATCACATGATAAACCAGGGTTAGTTCCCTCAGTGTCACATAACAAATGAGTGTTTGTTATACACCTCCCATCACTTGGTGAGGGGGGTATATAGTTACTACCGGTATCGCTTTGTTGTTGCATCGGTCCCTGTGTGTGCCTGTGTCTGTCTGTCAATCCCCACCCCAAAACTAAATATACAATTACTGGGCATAAAGAGAGGAACACAATCATGATATAAGCATTGACCCTTGAGTCTGGCCACACCCCTAGGGACCTATAAGCTAGTCCGAGTCATTACTTAATTACCCCTGGGTCATTACTTCGAAACGGTTGAGATCCTCACCCCAAAACTATATATACAATTGCTAGGCATAAATAGACATATGCAGTCATGATATTAGAATTGACCCTGGGGTCTAGCCACAACCCTAGGGACCTATTTTCTGAGTTACAACTTGGAAACAGTTGAGATCTTCACCCCATAACCATACATACAATTGCTGGGCATGAAAAATAAAATACAGATATGCTACAAAGATTGGTCTTGGGGTCTGGCCCTTTCCCTAGGATCTTATTTGAGGATATTTTGCCATGATTGCTTAGATATCTAGGTGAGCAATACAGGCCCGATGGGCCTCTTGTTTACATGATAAAACACAAGAGTCAAGGTAACTTATTCTACTTATACTTGATCACTGTTACTTTTTATTTCAGTCAAAGTGGTTACATTCCATCGAACTATGTGAAGAGAAAATTTGATTTAGAAATTTTTGAGTAAGTATACATTTGTTAACTTAATTATTGTGTTTAGATTTTAAGAATGATTTTACTTATTTGAAATGTGATGGTAAATAGGAGTGAGGATTGATAAAATCTTGTGAAGTCTTCTTATTGTCATCTGATGTCAACAACAAACCTTTCCACCCACTGTACAAGGATCAACAAAGAATCGCCACAGTCACCTGATACATTAATTATCATGTACATTGTATAATAATATTTTCTTAGGAAGATTTCCATACTTGTAACCCTGGATGCTAGTTTGTTAATTACCTGTCATTATTGTTACTATATATGCATCATTTTTGAGAATGATTTTAGATTTTATGATCAGCATTGTAGCAATTGTTTTCCTTTGATATGAAATTTATTTGTTTTAATATGTAACATAAGATTTTTTTTGCTTTGTTTCAGTTGGTATAATAAGAAAACGTAATTTTGGCTTCGATTTGTACATTTGTATTACAAGAAGATATATTTCTTGTTTCAGTTGGTATTATAAGAATTACTCAAGAGAAAGGAGTGAGTCTGTATTGAAAGATGAAGGACGTGAAGGATGTTTCTTAGTACGGGAATCCAGCACACCCGGCATGTTTACACTGTCTCTGTTTACACTAGAAAAGTAAGTGTTTTCGCTAGAGGAGCTAGTATTTACACTTAGTAGGGGAATCCAGCACACCCGGCATGTTTACACTGTCTCTGTTTACACTAGAAAAGTAAGTGTTTACGCTAGAGGAGCTAGTATTTACACTTAGTACGGGAATCCAGCACACCTGGCATTTTTACACTGTCTCTGTTGACACTAGAAAAGTAAGTGTTTACGCTAGAGGAGCTAGTATTTACACTTAGTACAGGAATCCAGCACACCAGGCATGTTTACGCTGTCTCTGTTTACACTAGAAAAGTAAGTGTTTACGCTAGAGGAGCTAGTATTTACACTCATCAGGTTCTGTTTTCCCCTTGCTGGGGAAACCTATTATATCTCTTTGTCAAAATTGTTGTTCAGTAATTTAATTAATACAATCATGTGGAATATTAGTACATGGTAAATATAAAGAAAAATAAATACAGAAACATTGTTTGATTTCCTGTGTTTGTGCTTTTCGTCCTATAAACAGTTATGGTCGTTTAAGGACGTGCCAGGTTTTGGTGGTGGAGGAAATCCGGAGTTCCTGCAGAAAAACCACAACCTGCAACCAGACACCTCATCCACTAGTCTGTGGCGACCCTATAGAAACAATGTACATAGAATTATAAACTCTTTATTGTAACACTGAAATATCAAACACTAATACAACCAAAGCATGCATTCACCCAGTCAGCTGTAGACATTTAAGGATTGAAATATATATTTCTTAACTTTTAAGATGGTAAGAAACCTGCTGCTTACAAGCGTTTTTCATGGCGTACTGTAGAACAACTTGGGAATAAGTCTATATGCAAACAAGTTTCAAACAATCATAAAAGTGTAGGATGTGCCTTTTAACTCTGAAATTAGTTTTGAAAAATCAACGTTGATCTTTCCTGGTGGTTTCTTTTAGTTTAGTTCATGATACATTTTAAACAAACTGTTTTACAAAGTGGTAGAGCTACTTTATTTTGGGGGAACATGGTTGTGTCTTTTGTGATAACCATTTACATCAGTTGAACCATTTACATCAGTTGAACCATTTACATCAGTTGAACGTCAGACAACATTCGGAAATCTCTGTCAGAGATTGAATTTGATGTCTGAACAAGAATGGTTCCCAATTACCTTGACAGTGTGACAGTAGGAACCAAACAAAAATGTTACTGGGGTGATATAGTTCTTTGTAGGACACTTTTAATAATGTTTCTAGCTGATAGATATACTCACTGTCTTTACGAAGAAAATGTATCAATGAAAATGATTTTTCTGTGTTGTTATGTATGACTGGGACTGTTTTGTTTTCAGTGATGGAATGGTCAGGCATTACCATATAAAGAAAAACGATGCAGGGAAACATTTCATATCAGAAAAGTATTCATTTTTATCAATATCAGAGCTCATCCACTACCACAAGCACAACTCAGCAGGTAAGTACATATTACAACTCGAAGATATTTACTCAAACAAGAATGCTCATCGTTAGTTTAACAGATAAAAAACTCCTGTCTCTATGTCATCATCATATTCAGAGTTCATTAATCTGAAACCTTTAGTTTGCTACCTTACCGGTAGTTACTAGTATTTTACCTAAAGTCAGGAATAAAATGAAACATTGGTATTGGTTAAGGTGGGGAGGACAGAGTGTTGTGTAGACAATTAGGTCATACAGTACACCTGATATTCCCACAATCAAAGAAAAGTCATTTCTAGACAATTTATCCTAGTATACTACAGTTGTGGGATCGCGATAACAATCATGGTTGGTGTAAATTGAGGATTGGTTAAACACTATATACGGTGTCGTGTTTAAATATATAAGCTTGATTTTCTACCATGTTTCTACATTCAAGCTACATTTGTAATCTTATCTTTCTGTCTATACTTTCTTAAATTTAGAAATGGTGATTTCGTTTTTTTTTTAAATAACCTTAATTGACACACACAGTCTCAGCAACACAGGTAAACATAGCCACTTTGTACCTGGACTGTAGTTTTCCCCCGCCCGGGGCACTTGCGTAACTCGCCAAGGTGTGAAAACCAGGTGAATGGGAGNGACTAAAGGGTGTTGGTAACAAGGGTTTAGATTAATGGGTTTTGGTAACTACTGTTTTAGACTTAAGGATGTTGGTAACTAGGGTTAAGACTAAAGGGTGTTGGTAACTAGGGTTTAGAATAAAGGGTGTTGGTAACTAGGGTTTAGTTTAAAGGGTGTTGATAACTAGGGTTTTAGACTAAAGTGTGTTGGTAACAAGGGTTTATACGAAAGGGTGTTGGTTAATAGGGTTAAGACTAAAGTGTGTTGGTAACTAGGGTTTTAGACTAAAGGGTGTTGTTAACTAGGGTTTAGACCAAAGGGTGTTGGTAGCTAGGATTGAGACTAAAGGGTGTTGTTGACTAGGGTTTAGACTAAAGGGTGTTAGTAACTAGGGTTTAGACTAAAGGGTGTTGGTAACTAGGATTTTAGACTAAAGGATTTTGGATTTACCTGTAAAACAACAGGTATAGTTGTACCGTGTGATTAAGCTGTACAGCTCTGGTATCTTGGGCAGAATAAAATATATTCACACCTTCTCCATTATCTACTCCTTAATTCTGGAAGTGTCTAACAGTACCTGGGGGTTTTCCCAATTTTCAGAATAATGTGCCCCCATAATGTCTTGCTCCTATGTCCAAGCCGTAATATTTCAGGGTAACGGTCAATAAGTGGCTTGTTCTCAGTGTCATCATATGACTTGAGACTTATAACTCCAAACATACAAATATCATAGTGTGCAGTGTTGATAATCTGCAGGTGAGAAAACTAATACCAGTACAATACCACCCCTGAGACTCATGCATGTTTAGGTGATTGCTGAAGCAAAATTAAAGAGTCATGGTTTAATCAAAAGGGCTGCCATTCACCCATGCCTAATGTTGAATAATTGCTGTGAATGACTATAGAAGCAGGTTGCTCTTTTAGTAAATGTCATTAAACTTCCATCAGTATCGGGAAATAACCATCTATAACTTTCCCCTCTTGATGCCTTTGTTAACAGATTATTGATTCCAACAGGGGGCCATGAATTATGTACACCAGTAGATTGTGGGGGTCATTGATTGTTTCAGCGCAAGGCAGTGTTTATTCTAACTTAACAGCTGTGACGATAATAAAGCAATAAAATAGAAACTTACCTGTGACTAATGTCAATTACATACCGGTATATATTGATGTACCGTAACGATTCTTGTAAAGGTAATTTGTTAAAATGACTATATTCCAGCTTTTGCTCTGACTTGACTCCAGGGAGAAAGTGTTCTATATCAGCCATGTTTTAGTATGAAAACTAAAACATCTCTGCAGAATATCTCCTTTGACAGTTTCCATAGGTGTAGACTAAACTTCTGGTTCCCTGTTACCAGGCCTATTTTCCATTGGATTCACCTGGGGAAATAGACCAGGTCTTGGGGAACCAGAAACTTTCTATGGCCCTCAACCCCATGCTTTCATGATATACTAATCTAACACTTTTAGGGTGGTTACCACATGTGTCTGACCACTTGACCTGTTTGTAATCCACAAGGCAAGTAGTTTTGACAGTGGTTGTATCTTATAAAGATACCTAATCGACAGCACTTTTGGATATTTTCTAACAATTTATTTTTTTGTAAGTCTTAAAAAATTAAGGTGAGATAATTAAAATTTCTTAAATGTGCTATATTTGGTTTAAATGACATGGTGTTTGAGTTGTTGAATGTGAGAAGTCTCTCCATGTGATTGATGGGGCAAGTTCCGCTATATAAATTCCTTAATAGACAGAGGCTGGAGTATGCTGTGAATGTTTATTACCTCCAGTAAAAGCTGATTGCTTCCAATTATAGCCCTCCACTTGCAATACATGGTATATTGTATGAGGCATTAACTAAGGTGGGGCCTGCTATAGAACAGTCAGGCTTTTCTTCTCTTCATTCTTCCTGGGGACACTGAGGTCAGATCAATAATGATTTACTGCTCGCACTGTAACACTGGGGACCTCTGCCTTTTCTTTCTTGCTTTATCTATTCTTTCATGTAAGCTGTATTTCCCTAGACATTTCTTGCGAGCCCTTGATAACAATTTAAGTTAAAATCAGTAAATGGTGATTCTGTAATCATATGTCAATGTGAAGACAAAAACAACATGTAATATAATGTTTTATTTGGTCCATTCTATGGGGGAAAACATTCCAATCGCTTTTCTGGCTATCTTGCAATAGATTGGTCCATTCTGCGAAAAATAAAAATTTCAATCGCTTTTCTGGCCATCTTGCAATAGATTGGTCCATTCTGTGAAAAACAAAAATTTCAATCGCTTTTCTGGCCATCTTGCAATAGATTGGTCCATTCTATGGGGGGGAAAATCCAATCACTTTTAAGGCCATCTTGCAATGGGCTGGTCCATTCTATGAAAAAGAAAAAATCCAATTGCTTTTCTGTCCATTTGGCAATGAGTTGGTCCATTCTATGAAAAAGAAAAAATCCTATTGCTTTTCAGGCCATTTGGCAATGAGTTGTTTGTGGTGACATTGAAATAGCCCACAAGTGTTCCCATCAGTGAAAACAATTGTCATATGACATTTGATGATATACAGATAATGTCTGTCATGGTGCTTGCCTGTACAACCAATGTATGGGATGGTCAAACTCATTAACACCCCAACAGACATGTATAGTGTAACTTGACTTAAAAAAAAACTGTGTATAAAGGTCACCTGTCTGTAAATCCATCGGTCTATAAAGGCCATCTACCTATAACTGCCGTATAAATGAGACAACAAAAATCCTGTGTCCTAACCAACTGCATGTGCTACAGTTATATCCAATTTAGCAAAAAACACAATGTAGTGGGACAGGGATCCTTAATCAAAGTGGAGTGATAGATTCTGTTCCTCTTGTCATCACCATACAAGGGCGGTAGAATCTATTGCTCACACTCCTTGGGTTGAGATTTCTTTCCTCGTCACACTGGAGTGAGAAATTCTGTTCCACTCGTCCATTGATTGAGATTTCCATCTCTAGCACACTGACTAGAGCCAATAGATTCTATTCCCCTTACCCACATGTTAAGATCTTTGTTTCTGTCGTGTTTGGGTTACAATAGTAATCCTATAATAAGCCTACACATCATATTTGACTTAAAGTCGTTGGTAGGCTTGCTTACTACAGGACAATGGAATGGCATTAAATATGTCAGCATTTCTACTGATCTTCAATATAAGTGGGCTTATTACCAGGCATGGACTAATTGCTGGATACATACAATCTATACATGTTTAATTATATCAATTCGTTATTAATTCTTCTGTTATTGACTTTTGTTTCCTTTCTTTATTTCCAGCGGTGTGCATCATAAAGGGAAAAAGTGTGAACCACTTGTTAAACAAAAACAGATTGAAAAAATTCTTCAAGATAATCAACAACATCTCAACCCCAACGTCATGAAGGTTGCGGGCACATCCAAGATCAAAATCCGGGACCCGAAACCAAATGGAGGCTGGGGAGATATACGAGATAAAAGACTGTGTCACAGCTTTGTGTCTGCGGAAGACGAACGGAAGATGCAGCGGTTCATGAAATCAAATGATATATCTATACTTACAGGATAGGTATTTCTCGTTAAAATAGAAATAATACAATGGATATATTTTTCTACAGTGTTCATGTAAATGGATGTTTCACTTGTCTTGTTGCAAATGTGATGGATACCGGTAAACTGTTTTACCTCAGGGCGAATTGCAAGTACGTAGTGAATGTAAGATTTCCAAGACAAGTAGAATTTTCTGCAGTCTTGACCTCATCAGCTCATCAAATGCTGGTCTCCTTAAAGTCAAAGGGTGTGTTTACCTTTAATAGTTCGAAAATTTGTCTTTCAAATTTTGTGTTTAATGGAAAAGCGAGTACATACTGGAGTAGTCATAACGGTACCTATAGGACGAATTCGGAACATTTTAAAAATCACTCCTTCAGACTATGAACTAAATTTTGGGTTTGAATTAATGCATTTATTTATGAATTATTAAAAAAAAACATAGAATGTAATGATTTTGTGGAAGTGAACGAGTTAACTAAGTTTGATGATGTTTCTTTTTTTTTTTTAAATATTTCTATGTTTGTTGATATTCACTGAAAATCTGAAAAGTTGAATTGATTTTAGTTCATGTGTACCAGTAATTTTATTTTTTATTTTTTGGAGGTTGATAACGTTTTTGAAAATTTCTGGGTTTGTTGATATTTCAAAAATGTCATAAAAAGTTATGGAACTTTGTCATGGGTACTCTACAGTTCCAAATATCTTCTTCTCATCTTTTTTTTTTTTATAATTTTGTTTTTTGAAACATTTTCAGCATTGCAGAATAATTACAGTATTAATTTTCACACTCATTTTCATTCTTCAACCAACATTTAATACAAATTTTGTAGTGGTTTTTTTTAGAGAGAGAGAGAGAAAGAGAGAGAGAGAGGGTGGGGGTGGGGAGGGAAGGAGCAAAAGAGCTTTTACAGAAATTGAGGAGGGGGGGAGAGGGCTGAGAAGACAACAAGGGGTCCAAGTGGTAAAGATGTTGAGTCCATGTGTGTCCATTTATTAGTACATAATCTTAATTATAGAGATGAGAGAATTACAGTAATATATACAGTGTACATTGTTGCATACGAACCTTCCGTATTTTTTTCATTCCATATTATTGATCAACAAATTGTACCAAGTCGCACCATGTGTGGACGATGTGCGGACGGTGTGTGAATGATGTATGCACGGTACTTTTGGTGCGTTGTGCGGTCCCACAACTGTAGTTGAACACATAATGATAATTGCCACACCCAGAAAATAACTTTATCAAAAAGTGATTCAGTGGTTAATTTAAAAAAAATGTAATTGGGAGGTTAATTTAAAAAAAATGTAATTGGGAGTTTAATTTTTAAAAAAAATGTAATTGGGAGGTTAATTTAATGGCCACATGTGGTTAATGTTTGTTAGTGTGAGATTTTCTTTTTAGAAAAATAGGTTAGGGATCAAAATACATGTTACCGTATCCCAATCACCATACATGCCACACAACTCACAATGGTTGACATGGGTAAAACATTGCATGATCTAATTATCAGAAGCTGAAAACAATTGATCTTCTTAGTAGTAAAGCTTGGTTTCCACAAAGTCACTACTTTAAGATCCATTTTCTTGTGGATGTATCATAAAATTCAAAAATCTTTTAATTGAATTCAGTTTTAAAAACCAAAAGGTTACTTTGTTCACAGGGATTGAATTTGTATTATGATTAAATGTTTATTTGTAGGTCTAGCCACTAGATTAAAAGCTCCACCCAATCGTGATGGGCGGTCAGCACCGGCCACAGCTGGCATGGGACATAGTAAGTGGACAGCATATACATTGTACATGCATACACATATTCATACAGTATACCACAAAACTAGGTCATACTGCCAACATTTCTGCAGAAAAATATTGGCATTTTATACAGTAACCATGGAATGTTACACAATAACCATGGTAAATTACACCGTTCTAGATTGATTGTAATTAAGTACATATATGGCCCACACATTATATTTCTGCCTCAAAGAAAAAGTCTGCCATACAAATAATAAATATGAAAAGAATACTTGAAATTTTTTAAATCAATTTTGATGTTGACACATTGTATTTATAAAGTAGATATTGCATAGCTTTGATTAACTTGTTCTCTGTAAATAAAAACAAACATATTTGCTTTCAGGTAAATATGAAATTGACGCTCGTGATGTAGTAATATTAGAAGAACTAGGAGCAGGCTGTTTTGGGGTAAGTGTGTTATTGATAGGTAACTCATGTACGAGTCAATATGTTACAGTATAAGGGGACTCCTGTACGAGGCATTATGTTACAGTATTAGGGGACTCCTGTACGAGTCAATATGTTGCAGTACAAGGAGACTCCTGTACAAGTCATTATGTTACTGTACAAGGTGACTCCTGTACGAGTCATTATGTTACAGTACAAGGTGACTTCTGTATGAGTCCATATGTTACTGTACAAGGTGACTCCTGTACAAGTCAATATGTTACAGTACAAGGTGACTCCTGTACGAGTCAATATGTTACAGTACAAGTTGACTCTGTACGAGTCAATATGTTACAGTATTAGGGGACTCCTGTACAAGTCATTATGTTACAGTACAAGGGGACTCCTGTACGAGTCATTATGTTATAGTACAAGGTGACTCCTGTACAAGTCAATATGTTACAGTATTAGGGGACTCCTGTACGAGTCAATATGTTACAGTATTAGGGGCCTCCTGTACGAGTCATTATGTTATAGTACAAGGTGCCTCCTGTACGAGTCATTATGTTACAGGACAAGGTGACTCCTGTACGAGTCATTATGCTACAGTACAAGGTGACTCCTGTACGAATCAATATGTTACAGTACAAGGGGCCTCCTGTAGTAGTCATTATGTTATAGTACAAGGTGACTCCTGTACGAGTCAATATGTTACAGTACAAGGAGGCTCATGTACAAGTCAATATGTTACAGTACAAGGGGACTCCTGTACGAGTCAATATGTTACAGTACAAGGGGACTCATGTACAAGTCAATATGTTACAGTACAAGGGGCCTCCTGTACAAGTCATTATGTTACAGTACAAGGTGACTTCTGTATGAGTCCATATGTTACTGTACAAGGTGACTTCTGTACAAGTCAATATGTTACAGTACAAGGTGACTCCTGTACGAGTCATTATGTTACAGTGCAAGGTGACTCCTGTACGAGTCATTATGTTACAGTGCAAGGTGACTCCTGTACGAGTCATTATGTTACAGTACAAGGTGACTTCTGTATGAGTCCATATGTTACTGTACAAGGTGACTCCTGTACAAGTCAATATGTTACAGTACAAGGTGACTCCTGTACGAGTCAATATGTTACAGTACAAGGGGACTCCTGTACGAGTCATTATGTTACAGTATTAGGAGACTCCTGTACGAGTCAATATGTTACAGTATTGTACGAGTCAATATGTTACAGTACAAGGGGAGTACAAGGGGACTCCTGTACGAGTCCATATGTTACATTACAAGGGGACTCCTGTACGAGTCATTATGTTACAGTACAAGGGGACTCCTGTACGAGTCCATATGTTACATTACAAGGTGACTCCTGTACGGGTCAATATGTTACAGTACAAGGTGACTCCTGTACAAGTCATTATGTTAAAGTACAAGGTGACTCCTGTACGAGTCAATATGTTACAGTATTAGGTGACTCCTGCATGAGTCAATATGTTTCAGTATTAGGGGCCTCCTGCATGAGTCAATATGTTACAGTACAAGGGGCCTCCTGTACGAGTCATTATGTTACAGTACAAGGGGACTTCTGTATGAGTCCATATGTTACTGTACAAGGGGACTCCTGTACGAGTCATTATGTTACCGTACAAGGGGACTCCTGTACGAGTCATTATGTTACAGTACAAGGGGACTTCTGTATGAGTCCATATGTTACTGTACAAGGTGACTCCTGTACGAGTCATTATGTTACAGTACAAGGGACTCCTGTACGAGTCAATATGTTACAGTACAAGGTGACTACTTTGAGATGTGACTATTTTGAGTCAATTGAGTATATTATGAATATTTTGTACAGGCTGTCCACAAAGGAAAGTTAAAGGGTATGACAGTTGCTGTGAAATTGTTGAAGGAAGGAACGATGTCAGAGGAAAGCTTTATAGAGGAAGCAAAGACTATGACGTAAGTCAGTGGTTGAATGAAGATCAAAATCTCCAACGTCAGTCATTAGAAACAAATTTGAGGAGATTACAAGATGTAAATAATAATTGCAACCACCATAAATAAACAAAAACATTTTCATAGCACATAACTATAAACAGATACCAAATCCATAGAAAAGGCTAATCCTGTGATATGTTTTATGTACATTAACATGTTAGTTTTATACTGTGAGGAGTGTTAACTTTATACTGTTAGGTGTGTTAACATTATACTGTTAGGAGTGTTAACTTTATACTGTTAGGAGTGTTAACTTTATACTGCCTAGGAGTGTTAACTTTATACTGTTAGGAGTGTTAACTTTATACTGTTAGGTGTGTTAACTTTATACTGTTAGGTGTGTTAACATTATACTGTTAGGTGTGTTAACTTTATACTGTTAGGTTTGTTAACTTTATACTGTTAGGTGTGTTAACTTTATACTGTTAGGAGTGTTAACTTTATACTGTTAGGTGTGTTAACTTTATACTATTAGGAGCGTTAACTTCATGCTGTTAGGTGTGTTAACTTTATACTGTTAGGAGTGTTAACTTCATACTGTTAGGAGTATTAACTTTATACTGTTAGGTGTGTTAACTTTATACTGCCTAGGAGTGTTAACTTTATACTGTTAGTATTGTTAACTTTATACTATTAGGAGCATTAACTTCATGCTGTTAGGTGTGTTAACTTTATACTGTTAGGAGTATTAACTTTATACTGTTAGGTGTGTTAACTTTATACTGATAGGTGTGTTAACTTTATACTGTTAGGAGTGTTAACTTTATACTGTTAGGAGTGTTAACTTTATACTGTAAGGAGCATTATCTTTATACTGTTAGGAGTGTTAACTTTGTACTGTATTTCTTTTTAATGATCTCTGACATTTATATTTTGTTCTTGTTATTTTCAGACAATTAAATCACCCCAACTTAGTGCAATTATATGGTATTGTAATTAAATCAAGGCCACTCCTTATAATCACAGAAATAATGAGCTCAGGTGAGTACAGGTGTAAATAGGAAAGGAATTTATAATTCATAAAATCAAGAATATTAAAAAAATCTTAATGACAAATGATATGTTAATCTAATCTGGGAGTCTGTATTATAATTTCATTTTATTACATAAAAATAGGTCATATCACATGAACGCTTAAACAATTTGTACACAAAATATTTGACAAGGTTCAATTAACTCAGCAAAATGATAATCATGCAATGAAACAGTACACACTAATCTGCCAAGAAGAACGCTGTTATTAACTATATTGTGAAACTAAAAGGCTTTCACAGTACTACCGTGTGTAAGTTTACTGTTAAATCAATGCCTTTTAAGAGTATTACCTGATGTACTACAGTTGTATCAAAGTGGAATGTAATTTCTAAATACTTATGTTGTCTATGTTTTAGGTTCATTACTAACCTACCTACGGAGACACAAGCCTCGTTTACTGACCAAGACCGCAGCTCTGTTGGATATGTGTATCCAGGTGTGTAACGGAATGACTTACCTGGAAAATCGACACTTCATTCACCGAGATCTTGCTGCACGCAACTGTCTGGTGGGTGATAATACAGTTGTCAAGGTAGCAGATTTCGGTTTAGCAAGGTAAGAGACAGGATCAGCGGACGGGTGGATTGGTAGAGTCAAGTGAGTGGTTAACACTTTGGCCTTCCATGTAGGCGGCCGGGGTTCAACCCCGGAGGTCGTCGTATGTATGGAATGTTCAAAGAAAGCGTCTCCTCCCCACACAACTCCAACAACCCAGGTGGAGTATTAATTGGTCTGGGGTGGATGTTGCGGTATCTGTGCTATAGCACTCAAGTGAGGTGGCACTATAAATGATAAAGTTGAAAGCACGGTCCCCACTACAAACAGAATACAATACATCTCCAGCACACATGCAGGCATACACACATAGGGAGATATTAGCCAGGTGGCATAGGACGTAGTTAGCACCTGATAAGGCAGCTCCTGTGAAAGTTGTATTGATTAATGTATATGCTAATGGAATTGGTTGAATAAATTGTATATCTATGTACTGTAAAGCACTTTAGAGTGGCTTATTCTAGCTAGATAGGGCGCTATATCAAATATTGTTTATTATTATTACCTGACCAGAAAAACCATTAGAACACTTGCAACATGGATCAGTATCCATTACTATCCATCTGTCAACTTTTTTTAATATTTTTGACTTTTTTAGATTTTCTTTGGTGAACTTAACCAGGTAAAACTTATCAACAAAGTCAGAATGTACGTTGTTATATGGTGACTAGGGCAGTATAGAGGGGACATACCTGGAAGTCAAACTTTCAATTGATAAGTCGGGTATTAGGGTTTTAGTTTCTTATGAAATTTCTTAATTGGTACACCTTTGATCTGTGGTATTTAGTCTAGCCTAGCTATAGGGATGTACTTTATTTTTTTGTTTTTTAATGAGACTTGTGTAGCATAGGAGCCACACCCAAAGCTTCAAGTCAGACATAGGGGTGTCGAGAATACACATCGGGAGTTCAAGGAGTTATAGTAATGCTTTGAACAGGGGAGGGAGTCCCTAAAACCTTCATGATATATTTGACTGTGGTACAGAGTTAAATATCACAGCTGGGCTGTGTCACTGTGTATATATACACTTGTTTCTATTGACAGGTATGTGATAGACGATGAGTACCAGAGCTCACAGGGAACAAAGTTTCCAGTCAAGTGGGCGTCGCCAGAGGTGCTCAGCTTCACACGTTTCAGCAGCAAGTCTGATGTGTGGTCCATGGGTAAGTGCTGTCTGTGAACCTGCTGTATCTTTGTGGTTGTTGTGTGAGTGCTGTCTGTGAACCTGCTGTAACTTTGTGGTTGTTGAGTGAGTGCTGTCTGTGAACCTGCTGTATCTTTGTGGTTGTTGTGTGAGTGCTGTCTGTGAACCTGCTGTAACTTTGTGGTTGTTGAGTGAGTGCTGTCTGTGAACCTGCTGTATCTTCATGGTTGTTGAGTGAGTGCTGTCTGTGAACCTGCTGTATCTTCGTGGTTGTTGAGTGAGTGCTGTCTTTTAGTCAAAGAATCAATTGTGTGGTCCAGACCTGCCATTTTTGTTGTCATTTATGTAACTATTGAAAGATGAATTCATGAAAGTAAGTGGATGTCTACAGTTATATGTATGACCTATTGACACATCATTGTACTTTGTTTATGATATCCTTAACTTTACCTTAAACATTACAGTCTATCCAGCTGTCTTAATGAGTACAAGCATCTTAGTCGCTACATATTTAAATTTTGTGTACAGCCAGGTATTCTGTTTATGTGTTTAATTATATATACAGAATTCTTATGTTGGAGGTATTTACATCTATAATTATGTGTACAGGTATTCTGATATGGGAGGTATTTATGTGTTTAATTGTCTGCACAGGTATTCTGATATGGGAGGTATTTATGTGTTTAATTGTCTGCACAGGTATTCTGATATGGGAGGTATTTATGTGTTTAATTGTCTGCACAGGTATTCTGATATGGGAGGTATTTATGTGTTTAATTGTCTGCACAGGTATTCTGATATGGGAGGTATTTATGTGTTTAATTGTCTGCACAGGTATTCTGATATGGGAGGTATTTATGTGTTTAATTGTCTGCACAGGTATTCTGATATGGGAGGTATTTATGTGTTTAATTGTCTGCACAGGTATTCTGATATGGGAGGTATTTATGTGTTTAATTGTCTGCACAGGTATTCTGATATGGGAGGTATTTACATGTTTAATTGTATGTACAGGTATTCTGATGTGGGATGTATTTACATATTTAATTGTGTATACAGGTATTCTGTTGTGGGAGGTATTTACATGTTTGACTGTGTATACAGGTATTCTGGACTGTGTATACAGGTATTCTGTTGTGGGAGGTATTTACATGTTTAATTGTGCATACAGGTATTCTGTTGTGGGATGTATTAACATGTTTGACTGTGTATACAGGTATTCTGGACTGTGTATACAGGTATTCTGTTGTGGGAGGTATTTACATGTTTAATTGTGTATACAGGTATTCTGTTGTGGGAGGTATTTACGGGAGGTGTGATGCCATACGACAAAATGAAGAATGTTGATGTTGTTGATTATGTTTGTCATAATCGCAAACGTCTTGAAAAACCAGCGGCGTGTCCGGATAAAATTTACAAAGTCATGATGCAGTGTTGGCAACATGTGAGTATATATACTGGTAAACTGATGACAACATGTGAGTATATAAACTTGTAAACTGATGGCAACATGTGAGTATATAAACTGGTGACAACATGTGAGTATATATACTGGTGACAACAGGTGAGTATATATACTGATGACAACATGTGAGTATATATACTGGTGACAACAGGTGAGTATATATACTGATGACAACATGTGAGTATATATACTGATGACAGCATGTGAGTATATATACTGATGACAACATGTGAGTAAATATACTGGTAACAACATGTGAGTATATATACTGGTGACAACAGGTGAGTATATATACTGATGACAACATCTGCGGATATATACTGATGACAACATGTGAGTATATATACTGGTGACAACAGGTGAGTATATATACTGATGACAACATGTGAGTAAATATACTGGTAACAACATGTGAGTATATATACTGGTGACAACAGGTGAGTATATATACTGATGACAACATGTGAGTAAATATACTGGTAACAACATGTGAGTATATATACTGGTGACAACAGGTGAGTATATATACTGATGACAACATGTGAGTAAATATACTGGGGACAACATGTGAGTATATATACTGGTGACAACAGGTGAGTATATATACTGATGACAACATGTGAGTAAATATACTGGTAACAACATGTGAGTATATATACTGGTGACAACAGGTGAGTATATATACTGGTATACTGGTCACAACATGTGAGTATATATACTGGTAAACTGATGGCAACATGTGAGTATATATTCTGGTAAACTGATGACAACATGTGAGTATATATACTGGTGACAACAGGTGAGTATATATACTGATGACAACATGTGAGTAAATATACTGGGGACAACATGTGAGTATATATACTGGTGACAACAGGTGAGTATATATACTGATGACAACATCTGCGGATATATACTGATGACAACATGTGAGTATATATACTGATGACAACATGTGAGTAAATATACTGGTAACAACATGTGAGTATATATACTGGTGACAACAGGTGAGTATATATACTGGTATACTGGTCACAACATGTGAGTATATATACTGGTAAACTGTTGACAACAGGTGAGTATATATACTGGTATACTGGTCACAACATGTGAGTATATATACTGGTAAACTGATGACAACATGTGAGTGTATAAACTTGTAAACTGATGGCAACATGTGAGTCTATAAACTGGTGACAACATGTGAGTATATATACTGGTAAGCTGGTGACAACATGTGAGTATATATACTGGTAAGCTGGTGACAACATGTGAGTATATATACTGGTAAGCTGGTGACAACATGTGAGTATATATACTGGTAAACTGGTGACAACAGGTGAGTATATATACTGGTATACTGGTGACAACATGTGAGTATATATACTGGTAAACTGGTGACAACATGTGAGTATATATACTGGTAAACTGGTGAATTTTCAGCATTTATTTCTAACTATTGTTTCTATTAAAGACATTTACTTTTTATACTAGTTCCTGCTTAGGTTTTAGCCTTGATGTTGTATCGTTTAAATAATATCTAAGGAAAACCAATACAGTCGAACCTCGTTATCTCGAACTCGTATAACTCGAATATCCCGTTTAACTCGAAGTATTTCATCGGTCCCGGCCAAAACTCTTCTTAATCTTACTAATAAAAACTCTGATAATTCGAACTCTGAAAACTCGAAAAACTCGGATATCCCGAAGTGAAACATCGGTCCCAACAATGTAAATCCTACATAAAAATATCTCCTACCTCGAAGTTTCTTAAGATTCACAAGTCTATCATATATTCTTTAATTATTTGATATATATTAGACGAACTGCTACGGTAAACATCGTTCTCATAGAGCAGCTTACGCTCGGTCATAATTACTTCAATTAAACTTACGGCATTAAAATGTGTTTGACTGTAAAAATACTTTGTACAAATAAAGAAACAAACTTCATCAATGTTGATTAACAACTATTAGTACTTACTGCGAGCCCATAAACAATTTGAAAAGCACTTTATTTACACCAAAGCTGCCGACACATTCTAACCGGAAAATGGGTCATGCGTAAATAAGCTCCACAGTAAAAATCACAACAGAGGACTGGTTCGTTGGTTTATGTTTTTACAGGAGCTTGTATGGCATTGATAAAAATAATTGAGAGATTTAGGAACAATACGATAATTATTGTTGACTACGTCATGTTGAGGAGATGTCAAGTGTCATTGGGGTCTATAAATGTGGATATGTTTCCTGATTAACTCATACCCATTTCGGAATGTCGAAATTAACTGAGCAATCCAACGTGTACGCTCCAATACAGTGATTTGTATAAAGACTTGCGCACTTTCATTTCCGCATTGAAATTTCTATCAGCATAGCACGAGGTCGGAGACAGCATGTGTGTTTATTTAACATTAGTTAATTAATGAATATGATTATGAATAAGTTGTATATTTTTATTCTATATAGTTATCTTTTTGTAATTTATCGACTGTTTAAATACGTTGATTGTCAGAGAAATCAATGACATATATAGCCTCATATTGGAACTTAACCAAGCTTTATGCCAAACATAAGAACTCGCTTAACTCAAATACTCGGATAACTCAAAGTTTCCATACGATCCCGTCGACTTCGAGATAACGAGGTTCGACTGTACTACCAAAGTCAGGTTTCAGTGTCCAGAACCAAGGGTTTTGTATGGTTATATTATGCTGTACATACCTTAAAGCCTGTGTTCACTATGTGTAAATCTTCTCTTAAAGTATTTTATGTGGTGTGCAAAAAAATGTAGTGTTTTAATTATATTCACCCAGAAAAAAATCTTTCTCATTCCACAAACAAACACTGTTTACATGAAAAAGTTAATTGTTGTTTGTTTATTTTAATTTACATAAAAAGTTTTATATAAAAGTGTGTAAGGGGATCTATAGGAATGGGTGTAGCTATCCTTGATAGAATGATTGTAACTATTAACTAGAGACCTGAATGGTGAACATAACTGTGTCCTTGTTGCCTTACTATCTCCTCACTGTAGACTACTTGTGTTCACTGTATGTGAACCGCTTTGAGACGAACTAGGTTGTGATAAAGCGGTATATAAGAACCTTTAATTATTATTATTATTATTATTATTCACTGCATACAGAATCCAGATAAACGTCCCAATTTTGAGGAACTGAAGCAGATCTTGAATGAGTTAGACCGCCAGGGTATTGATATGTTTACTTTTAGTGTTTCAGTGTATAGGTGTACCTTTCTATTTGTAAAGTTTCTGAAACTGTATCTGACCTACATTACTCTGTATGCAATTCTGGTCTATATAATTACAAACACTTTTCTTAGAATTGTAATGTGTGCATATGTTTTTATGTAATTTCCTATAAAAGAAACCCACCTTAGTGAAAATCTTTCTACCAGCGGTAAACTAATTCTCCTTATTACGTACAGTATTCTGAAACCATTAATTATGTGGTTTTGTGATATCATTACAACAAACTTCTATATGAATGTATTTGTGGTGCTGTATATTATAGAATATGACATGTATGGTCTTGTAAGTTATTTAAAGGTACATATTCAGACGTATACAATATTAGCATGAGTTAGCAGGCCTGCTCTAGTTTACTATCAGATAGCCAAATCACATTACATTACGTTTTGTATGTATGTACAATGGGTTGTTGTTTGTCTGGACAGTTGGTTTTCAGTTAATCATTCTGGAGTTTTCTGGATAAAAGATCAGGAATTAATTATCACTAAAAAAATGGACATTATTCAGATAATCAAGGTCTAAAGTAACACAGTTTCATCATATGATATATCACAATTACTTACATCATGTTTATGTTCAAATATACAATAGATTTGTATCGTCCAAATGTTGATACCGTAATAGGATACTTTCACATTGAATACACAAATCAGGAAAAACACATAGAAACAATAGTTCAATATCAAGCAACAAAGCAGGTACCTGGTCTAAAAGACCAACACTAGCATATAAAAGATCCTGTGACGACATGATAGAGGTCTGCAAAATAATGTCAGGGAAAGCTCTTCTACAGGTGGACACAACTATATTTACAAGTAGCATTCAAAATTAAATATTATATATTACAAAATATTCATTTACACAGAAAACTGTTGATTTATTAAACAATCTTATATCAAATGTTGTAAATTCATCCACAGTTAAACAATTCAAATATAATTAAGATTAACACTGGCAAAACCGAGAGCGGAAATATGGTTTTAATGAAAACTCATACTATAAAAAAATTAAAAGTGCTTTTTCTGTTAATGTGGGAAAGGAAACGGAACCAGGGGTTAGGGGTTGGGAAGGGACAATTGAGAGAAACAGGTTTATATTAATGTAAATATAATACTGAGAGAACCTACAGTTTGTCCTTTATTTCATGTTTTTGTAGGAACCTGATCGTCGGCCAAGCTTTGTAGACCTGCTCAACATGCTTAGCGGACTCCTAGAAACTGGAAACTATCCATTCGTTGCACCAAATTAATATCAGGACACCGACCAGCCAAAACATAGCTTTAACATGACCATGTATATCTGTGATCTTACACGTGTCTTTACATTACATATACTAATAGACATATAATTCTTCTCCTCTCTGATGAAGCAGCAATACCTGAAGCAGGGATACCTAAGATACCTGTAGCAGGAATAGCAGGGATACCTGTAGCAGGAACACCTGTATAGGGGATACCTGTAGCAGGAACACCTATACCTAAGATACCTGTGAATACCAGTAGATACCTGTAATGATACCTGTAAATACCAGTAGGTACCTGTAATGATACCTGTGAATACCAGTAGGTACCTATAGCAGGGATACCTGTGAATACCAGTAGGTACCTGTAAGGATACCTGTAGATACCTGTGAATACCAGTAGGTACCTGTAATGATACCTGTAAATACCAGTAGGTACCTGTAATGATACCTGTTAATACCAGTAGGTACCTATAGCAGGGATACCTGTGAATACCAGTAGATACCTGTAAGGATACCTGTAGATACCTGTGAATACCAGTAGGTACCTGTAATGATACCTGTGAATACCAGTAGGTACCTATAGCAGGGATACCTGTGAATACCAGAAGATACCTGTAAGGATACCTGTAGATACCTGTGAATACCAGTAGATACCTGTTACATTCCTTCTATATTTGCTCTAAGAAAAGACTGTGTTAAGAAAATACGAAATATTTGTATATAAAGGATACATGTGAAGAGTAAACAAGGAACTTTCCCTATACTTACTGTACAGAAGGTCACATTCCAGTGTACAATGCTGATTCCCTAGGGACTTGTTCACTTTCATTGGAGACTTAACGATGAGGCCCAGCTTTGTTATATAATTTGTATCATAATGATATATTATTTAAAATCAATATTTGAAGCAATACATATGATATGAATACAATTCATGTACCTAGAAATGCATTGTATAGTAGCAATATACTAACAGTATATATTGAATGCCTGCAGATTGTAATTAATATTGCTGAAACCTGATACTGAAGTATACATACAAGCAGTAATGATTAGAAGTGAAAGGTGCCAGTAAGTCTGAATTCACTGATCAAAAATCATATTTAATAAACTTTCCCACATTTCCAACATTTTAATAAGATTGACAATTCTATGTTCATAGACAGTTTTTTCCTGGACTTTAAAAGGAATAAACTTCCACAAAATGTTTGTGTTACCTGCTAAACATGTACATACGGCATGGTCCATTTTCACACATGTTTGTGTTACCTGTTAAACATGTGCATACAACATGGTCCATCTTCACACATGTTTGTGTTACCTGCAGCTAAACATGTACATACAACATGGTCCAACTTCACACATGTTTGTGTTACCTGTTAAACATGTACATACGACATGGTCCATCTTCACACATGTTTGTGTTACCTGTTAACCATGTACATACAACATGGTCCATCTTCACACATGTTTGTGTTACCTGTTAAACATGTACATACAATATGGTCCATCTTCACACATGTTTGTTTCAGTACATTGACGTCCATATGGATGTTTCCGGATGATATCTATTAAAGGAAAGATCAGATTTGTATTACACCTTGTGAGAATACATATTACCTCCATACTTAGCTCAAGTGTGACATTCAGTGAGGGTTTCATATCAATTCAAGTTTGATATTTCACATACTATGCTGCAATCTGATTGGCCTATAGTTCCTGTGTGATGAATCGTCAGTTTTTGTTATGGAAACATGTATCATTTCTGTTGTTTCCTGCATATCTCCTTAACCATCATGGCTTTCTGTGTTCCCACACCTATTACGGGTTTCTCTCACCCGGCCCTTCTTTTTACTTTGACAAATATTCTTATTTCAGTCTGTACTGTAATTAAGTTATATCATTGAAGCATTTGAATGTTTAGGTTCATTAATATCTTGACTTACTTTAAATTTATTCAAAGTAAATTTTTTTTAAAGTTTAATTTTTATTAAACACTTATTTTTAAAGACATACCAAAAGATCACAAGGGATAGAAGAAATAATCACAAAATGCTTGATTTTGGGATACCTGCTAATACTGAAATAATATAGCTTAAATAGACTTAGACACATTGATCTTATGATTTGTTCTTGCCATTATCCTCGAAATATCACTGTTGCTGTAGTGACAGCTACTTCTACTTTGGTGACAGTAACGATGTTGTCTTGGTAACAAATGTTGCTGTTTTGGTGACAGCTACTGTTAATTGGTGACATCTACTGTTTCTTGGTGACAGCCACTGTTTCTTGGTGACAGCCACTGTTTCTTGGTGACAGGCACTGTTACTTTGGTGAATGACAGTCACTGTTCCTTTGGTTTCATCCACTGTTATTGTGTCAGCTACTGTTGTTTTGGTGACAGCCTCTGTTATTGTGTAAGCTACTGTTATTGGTGTGCAGCCACTGTTGCTAAAGTCACAGCCACTGTTGCTAAAGTCACAGCCACTGTTGCTAAAGTCACAGCCCCTGTTGCTAAAGTCACAGCCACTGTTGCTAAAGTCACAGCCACTGTTGCTAAAGTCACAGCCACTGTTGTTGGTATGCAACTACTGTAGCTTTTTGACAGTAACTGTTATGTCCGCTACTCTTATTGTGGTGACAGCCGCTGTTACTGTAGAGACAACTACTATTGCTTTGATGGTAGCCACTGTTGTTTCTTGAGTTCTTTGGTGACAGCTATTGTTGTCTTGGCGACAGCTATATCTGTTTTGGTGACAGCAACGGTGTTGTCTTGGCGACAGCTATATCTGTTTTGGTGACAGCAACGGTTTTGTTTTGGTGACAACAGTTTTGTTTTGGTGACAGCAACAGTTTTGTTTTGGTGACAGCAACAGTTTTGTTTTGGTGACAACTGTTGCTGTTTTGGCGACAGCTTCTTTCACTGTAGTGACAGCCACTGCTGCTGTGGTGACTGCACATGTTCCTATAAAAGAGGTATTTGACAACTGTTGTTGCTGCTTATCACACACACAGATTATACTACTTACTGTATAAGTATATATAGGTCACTTGTATAGGGTAATCTTGCATTTGTAAATAAAATCCTCTAACCGCTATCATTCAGTGTAATATATATGATTTAATTTTGGTTTGTGATGAATTCCTTGTGTTTTGTTTTATTTCATTATGCCCAGTCTTAGTGCTGTTGTGGTGTATTGTTTTGTTGATCATCCTGCAGAATCATAATGTTATATTGTGTGGTATGTTTTGTTTTATGTCATCATACCTTATTATTGTATGGTATGTTAATAAAAATCAGTAATGTATATATAAGGCAAAGGGCATGATGATCCCTTACCTACTTAAATCAGTATAGATGCTTTCATCTTCAGAGATATTGGAATTATACAAAATATATTTTCGTTTTGCTGTGTTATACAATCAGTTTGACAAGAATCAACTATATATAGACTAATGCTATTTTGATACATTTTTACATGGAGCTGCTGATGTGCTTACACAGGTACATTTATATCTTCCTATGCAGAGAGTATTCTGCCTTTATTCCAACATTATATATATTTACTGTCTAATAGTTGAATGTTTTTGTCCATGATTTTCTTACTAGGACAACTCAACATATTCTCAACTTACAAACTGCAGATTTTTTTATTTTTTTTTACATTTTCTTTATGTAACAAAAACTCCCAAATGTTTAACAGATTTAAATAATTTATTGAAGGTATCCATATTCACATCAAATCTATGATTACACAGAAATGGACTAGTTCCCATTAAACTTGTTAAACAGGAGAACAGAAATCGTAGTTCTACTACCAGGAATCATCAGACTAGGTCAGTCAGTGTCTATAACCAGTCACTATTATATAATACACTGGTTTTTAAGATAGGAGAGGGATTTGAAGCCAAAGAGAGAGGAAATGTAAAAATAATTGGAAGGTTGAAAGATTTTGTCTCAGCATCTATTGTGCCATTTCAGGTGATGGTTGGTTCAGTAACACATGTACCAGGTACATACTGTATAGTACCAGTCAATTACACCACACATGTACCAGGTACATACTGTATAGTACCAGTCAATTACACCACACATGTACCAGGTACATACTGTATATTACCAGTCTATTACACCACACATGTACCAGGCTCATACTGTATATTACCAGTCAATTACACCACACATGTACCAGGTACATACTGTATAGTACCAGTCAATTACACCACACATGTACCAGGTACATACTGTATACTACCAGTCTATTACACCACACATGTACCAGGCTCATACTGTATATTACCAGTCAATTACACCACACATGTACCAGGTACATACTGTATATTACCAGTCAATTACACCACACATGTACCAGGTACATACTGTATATTACCAGTCAATTACACCACACATGTACCAGGTACATACTGTATATTACCAGTCAATTACACCACACATGTACCAGGTACATACTGTATATTACCAGTCAATTACACCACACATGTACCAGGTACATACTGTATATTACCAGTCAATTACACCACACATGTACCAGGTACATACTGTATATTACCAGTCAATTACACCACACATGTACCAGGTACATACTGTATATTACCAGTCAATTACACCACACATGTACCAGGTACATACTGTATATTACCAGTCAATTACACCACACATGTACCAGGTACATACTGTATATTACCAGTCAATTACACCACACATGTACCAGGTACATACTGTATATTACCAGTCAATTACAAGGTAGATATTCTTGAAAAAAAAAATAAAAAAATAGGAATCTAAGGAATATAAGTGTACAATATATGTTCTGCTTTTACAGGGCTTTCTGTATGATCCCTTGATCAATCGAAGTTTAATGGTCTATAATTTTATAAATGTTTTGATTGTTGTTTTGGATGGAATCGTGCTTTCAGGTAATTTTAAAAATCACAAGACTATACAGTCCAAATCGTATGATTACCGATGTGTGTCTGTGAGATGTATTCTTGTCCA